CTGGCCTCTGCCCTTAGAGGGAGTCAGGCAGGCCTGGGCAGGGCAGAGGTGTTTCATGCCTGCTCTCTCCTCTCTGCCCTGCAGGCACCAGCAGCATCTTGGCAGGCACTGCCCTGGCTGCCTTGCAGCGAGCCGCAGGCCGGGTGGTGGGCACGGAAGCCCTGATCCATGCAGTGCTGCACCTGGAGCAGGTGCTCACCACTGGTATGTGACTGCCCTGGAGTTGGGGGAGGTCACTGACACTTTCCCAAGGGCCTGCGGGGGGAGTGGATTTGCATGTGATTGGCCAACAGCCACGTGACTGTGCTGCTGTTGAAAATACTTTCCTTCTAGTCACTTTGACCTTCTCTGGTCACTTTCAACTTGAAATGTTCTACCTCCCAACGAGCTGTTTCATGAGCATCTACTGAGTGCCTGTGCTGTGCCTTTCTTTTCTTTCTTTTTTGAGATGGAGTCTTGCTCTGTCGCCCAGGCTGGAGTGCAGTGGTGTGATCTTGGCTCACTGCAAGCTCCGCCTCCCAGGTTCACACCATTCTCCTGCTTCAGCCTCCCGAGTAGCTGGGACTACAGGCGCCCGCCACCTCGCCCAGCTAAGTTTTTGTATTGTTAGTAGAGACGGGGTTTCACCATTAGCCAGGATGGTCTCGATCTCCTGACCTAGTGATTCGCACGCCTCGGCCTCCCAAAATGCTGGGATTACAGGCGTGAGCCACCGCACTGGGTCTGTGCTGTGCCTTTTATGCTTGTTGGAACCAGGTGCTATGCTTCGTGACTGTGCCTATCCAGGGCTGTGCTCAGGTAGGGCTGGGCAGAGCTGGTTTGGACCTTCTGCCTGCCCTTCTGGCATCATGCCCTTACTTGAGATGCGATCACCTGTGCCCCCGCCCCCACCCCCGGCCATATGGTAGGGCAGCAAGAGCCCAACAATGACTATGATCTAATGAATGTCACCAGTGCCAGGCTTCTCACTCCTCTTGGCCACCGAGCCCCCTGGAACCCATGGTCAGTGTAGAGCAGCCACAGGCTTGTCTGGTTTCAGGTCCACCTCAGGGTGTCAGGCCCCATCTCCAGCACACCCCTGGAAGGAAACTGCTGCAAAGGCCTACTGAAGCCTGATTGTGGTGTTTCTGTAGCTCAAGCCTCTCATTGCACTGTAGTGACTCATATCGCATAATCGGTAGTCATTAGCAAAAGGTGCAGATGGGGAAGCCTTTCCAGCTTTCTTTTGAGGTGCGCCATTCAAGTTCTACATTGGCCAACGGATGACTATTTGTTGAGAACCCACTCTGTGGGGCCCCGGGGATAAAATGAGCAAAAATGGGGTCCCTGCCCTCAAAAGTCCTGTGGTCTCCTGGAGACAGACATTAATCAATAACCACTCAGGTGCATGTGTATTACAAACTGTGCCAAGTGCTCTGAAGCAGAGGGGCACAGTTAAGTCTTGACGTTTCAAGACTTAGCCACTTTGCAGCCACCAGGTTTTGGCTGCAAAGTTCCAGATGGCTCCTGTCTTTTGCATTTCGTACTCTAAACCCTTGCAGGCCCTTCCCTAAATATCAAGGGTCTGTCCCAGAAGCAACTCAAGTTTTGTTATTTTTAATTTTTTTTTTATTTTTGAGATGGAGTCTAGCTCTGTCACCCAGATTGGAGTGCAGTGGCACAATCTCGGCTCACTGCAACCTCTACCTCCCGGGTTCAAGCGATTCTCCTGCCTCAGCCTCCCGAGTAGCTGGTATTACAGGCGCCCGCCACCATGCCCAGCTAATTTTTTGTATTTTTAGTAGAGATGGGGTTTCACTGTGTTGGCCAGTCTGGTCTTGAACTCCTGACCTCGTGATCTGCCCGCCTTGGCCTCCCAAAGTGCTGGGATTACAAGCATGAGCCACCATGCCTGGACTAGTTTTGTTATTTTTATGCAGCTACAAGGAGGAAAATGATACATACCTTTCATTACTGAAGCTGGAAAGATGTGTAAGTTAGATAGGATAAAAATAGATCCTGATGAGCTTCCTTCCAACATAAACCACCTTTCAGAAGATGGTGCAGGGAGACTCAGGCTATAGGGAAGGTATCTGTCAGCCTCTCCTCTGACTAAAACTCCCCTAGGAGGGGCAGAGGTTAGTGTAAAATATGTATTTTTTGAGCCAGAGTCTCACACTGTTACCCAGGCTGGAGTGCAGCGGTGACATCTCAGCTCACTGCAACCTCTGCCTCAGCCCCCCCAGAAGCTGGGATTACAGGGCACGTACCATCATGCCTGGCTAATTTTTGTATTTTTGGTAGAGATGGGGTTTCACCATGTTGGCCAGGCTGGTCTCAAACTCCTGACCTCAAATGATCTGCCCGCCTTAGCCTCCCAAAGTGCTGTGATTACAGGTGTGCGTCACCATGCCCGGCCATAGTGTAAAATCTTTATCCTTCAATGTGGTTTATCCCAATTCCAATTACACATTAGGTCTAAAACAAAACTCAGGCCTCGGGAATTCCAAGCTTTGCCCTGGAGTGAAGCCCATTCCCTTGCTGGGATTGTCCTGGGGACAGAAGCTGCGTAGCTCACTGTCCTGTGGAGTTGAGGGAAGCTATCTTTCCATACTGCTCCCAGCAAGGGGTGCAGGGCCGGGAGCCTAGACTGGGAGAATGAAGCTGGGCCAGACAGACTCCAACAGTGACAGGCCCTGGGCTCACAGGAGGTGGCTGGCAGGACCAAGTGGGTGGCCTAATGCCTGGCATCAAGGTGGGGCGCTCCCGGGCTCAGCTGCCGCTGAAGGTGGAGGTAGAAGAGGTCACGGTGCCTGAGGGCTTTGTCCAGAAGCTCAATGACCACCTGCTCTTGGTGTACACTGGCAAGACCCGCCTGGCTCGGAATCTGCTGCAGGTGAGCTCCGGCCCCAGCATGAGGGAGGCAGGCAGGGAGCCTGCTGGCTGGGCCTGGGTCCTCACCACCCCTTCTCCTGCCCCGTCCACAGGATGTGCTGAGGAGCTGGTACGCCCGACTGCCTGCTGTGGTGCAGAATGCCCACAGCCTAGTGCAGCAAACTGAGGAGTGTGCTGAAGCCTTCCGCCAAGGTGAGGGGCTTCTTCCGGGGCGGGAGGGTCAGGGCACCAGGAGCGAGTATCCTGCCACTTGTCGGTTTGAGGCCAGGGTCATCTGCAGGCTTGGTACAAGCTCCAGATATTAGGCCTCTGGGAACAGAAGCCTATTGTCTGTCCTCTCCAAGGTCTCACATTTAGGGGAAAGTCACATCTGAGGACAAAATTTTCATTATGGGAAAGGCCCTCCAGCCCCACCTAACAGGAAGCAGAAAGGGGAAGGGACTCACCCCATGGCTGAGTTCCAGGGAAGTCTGAGCTGGGCAGGGCCCCAGTGTGTGGCTTCACAGCTCCCTAGTTGCCGACTGTGCTGGGTGTGGTGTTGGTTGCTTCCTGCACATTGGTCCTCAGGTGGTCCTGGGAAGTGGGCTTGTTACTTCCAGCTCCAGCCAGCACTGGAATCCGGCTTCTTTACCATGACACTGGCTCAGCAGCACGTCCTGGCACTTCATGCAGTCTCCAGACGGGTGCTGAGTATCTTGGCCCAGGCACATCACTCCCCTCTGCCCCACCTCAGGAAGCCTGCCTCTGCTGGGCCAGTGCCTGACCTCATACTGGGAGCAGAAGAAGCTCATGGCTCCAGGCTGTGAGCCCCTGGCTGTGCGGCGTATGATGGATGTCCTGGCCCCCCACGTGCATGGCCAGAGCCTGGCTGGGGCAGGCGGTGGAGGCTTTCTCTATCTGTTGACCAAGGAGCCACAGCAAAAGGAGGCCTTGGAGGCGGTGCTGGCCAAGACCGAGGTACTGATGGGGCTGGGGTTGATCAGGAGACCTCTTGGGGCAAGAAACCTCACTGTGGCCCACCAGTTAACCAGGGGCTATATCTGCAAGTCCCCTGGTCCTGCAGGCTCAGTCCAGCCTCCAGAAGGCCTGAGATTTGTCCAAAGCCTTCTAAATACTTCCCGTCCTGTCCAGGGCCTTGGGAATTACAGCATCCACCTGGTTGAAGTGGACACGCAGGGCCTGAGCCTGAAGCTGCTGGGGACCGAGGCCTCAACCTGTTGCCCTTTCCCATGAAGCTGGCTTCTCTCTGCAATAGGAGAAAACCTGGAGCTACAGTGTCCCCCACCTTCCTTGCCCCATGGGAACCTCCACCTCCTACTCCCCACCCACCTCTGCGAATCTGCTCCCAAAGGAAGCTGACCAGAGCAAGACCTGGGCAAGCAGAGAGTGCCTGGGACAGGACTGACCTGGTGGACAGTGGCCTAGGTATAGCCTCTGTTCCTCCTGGACATAAGAAGGTCCCAAGCTTAGTATCCCATGTGGCCTTTACAAATCCTATGACTGGCCTTCTCATTCCACGAGGGCCCTGGAAAGGGTTGACAGCCAGCCTTGGCATATGGCTGGGAGTCCCTTGGCAAGGCCAACCCTGAAGAGGCCCTCCGAGGCATTCCCTGTGGCCTTCCTTAGGGTTGTAGACTTCACGCTTCACCCTCATGGGAGCGTGGGAGTGAGGGTGGCGGTCCCTTGCCAAGTTGGTGGCAGTGACCCAGCGATTCACTGCCATCCCAGGCCTTAACCAGCAAAGCTACGGACCGTGCCAAGTGACCTGGTGCCTGTGGGAAGTGGGTTCTCAGGACTGGCATTCTTGGAATAAAGTCACTCTGTCCTTACAGGTGGTTCTCATAAAGTCACTTTTGCTCCTCCTGGGAGCAGTTCCCACTTCCCCTACACTATGGGGAACTGGCCCTGCGGTGATCCAGCTTGTGGTGCTGAGGGCCCCATAGGGGCATGAGGGTCTGGGACTGGATGGGGGCTCCTGCCATCATGTGGGTCCCGGACATAGCTGTGTGCTACACTGCGTGTGGGAGGAAGCTGAGGTCTTGGGTTTTGCCTTCCTATTTCAGTGCAACTGGTAGACCTGCCCTGCCCCATAGCATCTGGCCCTCCGTGGAAACAGCACACTGGCATCTCTCCAAGGGGTAGCTTTATTCAAGGATCATAAACATCACAGCCTTTCCTCGAAATCAAGCCTAACTGCTAGGTCCCCAGATGTACCCAAGTTGTCTAGGGCTGGCAGGGTAGCTTGTTTGCTGTAGTGTTTGAGGGCAAGAGACTGACCATCCACGCAGAAAGCTGGCCTGGGCTGCCCACTGCCTGCTGTGGCTTTCATACCTCATTAGGAACCCGCTTCTCTTGGTGGGGAGACACTGCCCCCAGAGCATCACCTGGCCAGGCCTGAGGGCAGAGCATGGAGGGGGTCCAGACCTTGTTTCTCTGCTGCCAGCTGTAGAAAGGTCTGGGCTGTCAGATCTCCCCCAAGTCAGACAGTCTCGCTCAGCTCCTTCGCTGGGGCCCCTTCGGGAACAGGCCCGGAAGTGATGAGCCAGGTGTGTTCACCCAGGCAGCTACAGGCGCAGCCTCTTGATATCTTCACTGCGGAAGTCTATGCGCAGGGCCAGCACCTGGCGCACTTCAGCAGGGGTGAGGCGCCACGTCAATGGGCCGGAGTTGGGTCCCCAGTAATCGAGGATCTCGGTCACCTGTGGGGAAAGACATAGAGACCAGTCAGCAAGGTGGGGCTATTCTGAAAGAGGGCTCTGGCCTCTACCAGGGGCAGAGCAGGGGCACCTGGGAAGGGGAAGGTGTCCTGTAGGGCTGGCTGCTGGCAGAGACATGGTTTAGAGGGAAGTGGCGGGGATCCATCTTTGCCTCTTTCAGTCACCCCTCCGTGGCTGGGCCAAGGGCGAGCCACCTACCCGCTCCAGATTGAGGATGGTGGCCATCTGGGAGAGCCGGGCAAACTTGTCTCGGATGGTCCAGGTGGTCACCGTGGTAAGGTAGGCAATGAGTGACCTCAGCTCTTTGTCAAACTGCAGACCGCCCAGCTGCAGAAGAACCCAAGCCCAGTAACTACTTAGGCCTGGCCAAGCAGAACTGGCCTCCAACTGCCCCCAGAGCTGGGTGGCAAGGCTGGCCAGGCCTCAGGTGGTGCCCTGTGGCTCCAGTTTGCTCTACGGCTTCAGAAGTCAGGGCAGAACTGGACCCAGACATGCAGGGCCTGTGGGCAGCAGACAGAGGGGATGCAAGTCCTGGGGTGGTGGCACGGCTTGTCTTCCTCAGAGGAGAAACGCAAGCTGCAGACCCATGACCCCTTTACCTTACCCGGTTAAAGGTGGATTTCAGCACCACTTTCTCCAACTCGACGGCAACAAGGCTGGTCATGAGGCCGGTTAGGCTGTCGTAGATGACCGGGGACAGGCTGGCCTGCACACAGAGGGTTGACATCAGAGCCCCACCTAACTCCTCTGCCTCTACGCTGGAGTCTTAGGTGGCGAGGATGGTTAGGTGAGGCCACGGGGCAGTGTTTCTACAGGTTAGGGTTGGAAGGGCTTCCAGGGTTCCCAGAAGGAATGTGATGAGACCCTGCAGGCTGCTGGTTTGGGCAGAGGTGGGTAATTCCCTAAGTGGATCCCTAGGGCCCCTACGCACCTTGAACTCCGCCATTTGCTGCTCCAGGTTAAGAATGAACTGTTGTACCCAAGGGTCATTGGCTTCATAGTCATTGAATTCTTCCTGTTGTCAGGAAGCAGGACTGGTGGTCACCATGGGCCTCTTTCTAAGAAGTACCATTCACTGCCACCCACCTCTATCTCTCTAAGAAAATAATGTAAAACGTTCTTTCTTTCCTGTGCCTTGACTCATCTAGTTTAAAACCAGCTCAGACACCCAGGCTGGCAGAAACTGACCAGCAAACAGCCCAGGGCTGTAGCAGAGGCCCACATAATATGGTAAAGTTCTTGGCATTTTATTCCTTCTTGGATCTCATGTTCTACAGGAATGAAATCACTAGGCCAGGAGGAAAAAAACGCTTCTAAGTCTATCATAGGTGGGGCAAAAAGAGCTCCAATACAAGGGAATAAGTTAGGTCAAGGCAAACTCCATGTCTTTCTGAGCCCTTCTGACTAGGGAGAAACTGTTTCCCGGGAGGAACCTAGTCTTCAAGGGTGAGGGTGGGGGAAGTGGGCTGGGAAGCATGGAAGGTCTAGTCTGTTTAGATGGCTCCGCTCCCTCCAGCTGGGGCTAGGGGCGAGGCGTCATTGGGGCTTGATGGCTGCCTGTGGCCAGGCTAACCTCTTCGATGTTGTGGGAGACGGAGAAAAAGCTGTTGATCCAAGGCTGCACCTGTGGCTTGATGGCTGTGCTGTTGAGCTCCGTCAGCCCTTCCTGCACAAGACAAGGTGGAGACATGTAACACAGAAGGCACACCTCATCCCTTCCCTCTCTCTTCTCCCCATCCCTCCCTTCTCGTTCCCTCCCCATCCCTTCCGTCTCTCCTCTCCCCATCCCTTCCCTCTCTTCTCCCCCCCCCCCCCCCCCCCCCCCCCCCCCCCCCCCCCCCCCCCCCCCCCCCCCCCATCCCTTCCCTCTCTTCTCCCCATCCCTTCCCTCTCTTCTCCCCATCCCCCCCCCCCCCCCCCCCCCCCTTCCCTCTCTTCTCCCCATCCCTTCCCTCTCTTCTCCCCATCCCTTCCCTCTCTTCTCCCCATCCCTTCCCTCTCTTCTCCCCATCCCTTCCCTCTCTTCTCCCCATCCCTTCCCTCTCTCTTCTCCCCATCCCTTCCCTCTCTCTTCTCCCCATCCTTCCCTTCTCGTTCCCTCCCCATCCCTTCCGTCTCTCTTCTCCCCATCCCTTCCCTCTCTCTTCTCCCCATCCCTTCCCTCTCTTCTCCCCATCCCTTCCCTCTCTTCTCCCCATCCCTTCCCTCTCTTCTCCCCATCCCTTCCCTCTCTTCTCCCCATCCCTTCCCTTTCCCTCCCCATCCCTTCCCTCTCTCCTCTCCCCACCCCTTCCCTCTCTCGTCTCCCCACCCCTTCCCTCTCTCGTCTCCCCACCCCTTCCCTCTCTCGTCTCCCCACCCCTTCCCTCTCTCCTCTCCCCACCCCTTCCCTCTCTCCTCTCCCCACCCCTTCCCTCTCTCCTCTCCCCACCCCTTCCCTCTCTCATCTCCCCACCCCTTCCCTCTCTCCTTCCCATCTCTTGACTGCAGGGTGCTCTTCCAGCCCTGAGGCTTTCTGCAGGCCCTGTTGGAGGTTATAACAGAGCTAGTGCTAATGAAAGGAGGAGCCAGGAACATGCCCCTTTCCAGATCTCAGATGATTCAGGTCCAGGGTAACAATGAGGCCTTGAGACTATTCTGATAGACTCTCACGAGAGATTTCAGAATGCCGGGTGCTAGGCAGCACCTGTGGCTAGGGCCACAGGTCAGAACAACCATGTGACTCCGCTTCCTCTGAGCATCTTCTGAGGGCTAGGGCCACAGGTCAGAACAACCATGTGACTCCGCTTCCTCTGAGCATCTTCTGAGGGCTCTTGTCATTGTGGGGCCAAGTGGAAAGTCTAGAGGACCAGAGGGTGGCTTGTCAGTGTGACAACTTCACTGCTGAAAAACCAACAGGGCCTTTAGTCTCAAGGGACCTGCACAACTCCAGGCGTCAGGGCTTGCTTGCTGCTCCCTCACCCGTCCTCCTGGCTTCCTTGCACACGATGAGCCAGCTAACAATCTTCTCAGAGCAACATACAGACACAGGATTCAGTCAGCAGTTGAACCTGGGGCTTACCTGCAAGAGGTCTCGGAATTTGTTGGACACGGCGGCCAAGTCAGAAAGGCAGCTGTCAAACTTGGCCTGAGCCTGCTCCCCTCCAATGCCCTGGCTGAAGAGCTTGGTGCAATCACTCTAGGGGAGAACACTGCTGTAAGACCACCAAGCATGCCTGGGCCATGGGAGTGTGAGGAGAGGCACCAGCCACTTCTACTCCTCCAGCCTTCTCTGGGTGTAGCTATGGCCTGTCAAGAGTCTTTTCTGTTTCAGAAAACCTCGATTCTATCCTGGTGGCTATCCACTTGGCTCCCACTTCCCCCTCTGTAATATGGGGGTACCAGTGTTGGGGAAGTGAATAAGAAACAGAATACCACAAAGTTTTTCCTATCTTTAGAGTCAGACATTCCTAGGTTCAAGTCCTGGCTCAGTCATGTATTAGTTGAGTGACCTTGGGCAAATGATTTAAAGTTTCTGAGCTTCAGTTTTCCTGTCTATAAAATGGGAACACCAATTCCTGCTCCTCATGTATGAGATGAAGCACAACGTGCCTAGCTCAGTGCCTGGCACAGGAGACACTAGCTATTATTGCTATAGTTCCTCCTTTTTCTCTCTTTTTTCCCACTTTTATATTTATTTACTTCTCTTTAAATTTTATTTAAATTTACCAAAAAACCACAAAAGCCAGTTCTGCTTCTTAAATATTTTGGTCTGGCTACCAAAGGGAGATGGTCAAGATCATAGCTAATGTTTAAGGGCTTACTGTATACCGGGCTTTGTTCTAAGCATTTTGCTTTTATTACAGTACCAGGCTGGGCGAGGTGGCTCATGCCAGTAATTCTAGCACTTTGGGAGGCCAAGGTGCAAGGACCACTTGAGGCCAGAGTTTAAGAACAGCAGGGAAACATAGTGAGAAGCCGTCTCCACAGAAAATTAAAGAATTAGTTGGATGTAGTGTTGCACCCCTGCATCCCCAGCTACTAAGGAGGCTGAGGTGAGAGGATCCCTTGAGCCCAAGGGTTCAAGGCTGCAGAGAGCTATAACTGTGCCACTGCACTCCAGCCGGGGCAACAGAGTGAGACCAAAGTACCTATTCTGCTTAAAAACCAAACAAAATGAAAACCAAAAAACCCCCACAACTACTTAAGTTACTCTGACCTTCAGAAAAAAAAGTATCTCCTTTATGAAGTAGGTAAAATTATCCCCATTGTACAGATGAGGAAACTGAGGCATAGAAGTTAATAATTTATTCAAAGTCATGGCAATAAGTCAGGAAAGGCTGAGCGCGGTGGCTCACTATTGTAATCCTAGGACTTTGTGAGGCCATGGTAGGAGGATCGCTGGAGCCCAGGAGTTCAAGACCAGCCTGGGCAACAAAGCGAGACCCTGTCTCTCTCTCTTTTTTTTTTTTTGAGACACAGTCTCACTTTGTCGCTCAGGCTGGAGTGCAGTGGCATGATCTCGGCTTACTGCAACCTCTGCCTCCCGGGTTCAAGTGATTCTCATGCCTCAGCCTCCCGAGTAGCTGGGATTACAGGTGTGTGCCACCATACCCAACTAATTTTTGTATTTTTAGTAGAGATGGAGTTTCACTATGTTGGCCAGGCTGGTCTCGAACTCCTGACCTCAGGTGATCCACCTGCCTTGGCCTCCCAAAGTGCTAGATTTACAGGTGTGAGCCACTGCGTCCAGCAGAGACCCGTCTTTTAACATAGATAAATCATGGAGCTGGGACTCTAGACCAGGTATTCTGACTCCAAAAATCCTGTTTTTGTTTTGTCTTGTTTTGTTTTTTTGAGACAGTCTCACTCTGTCACCCAGGCTGGAGTGCAATGGCATGATCTTGGCTCACAGCAACCTCTGTCTCCCAGGATGAAGTGATTCTCTCACCTCAGCTTCCAGAGTAGCTGGGATTACGGGCACCCACTATCATGCCCAGCTAATTACTGTATTTTTGTAGAGACGGGATTTCACCACGTTGGCCAGCCCGCCTGAGCCTCCCAAAGTGCTGGGATTACAGGCGTGAACCACCATGTCCAGCCCAGAATGCCTGTTTCTAATCACCACACTACAGTGTAGGTGTAGTACTCTCTAGGGGGAACTGCTTGAAACTTGTGTTTTAGGTTGCCAGGAGCTACCACATTTCTTGTAGCCTCCTTAGAAAGTTCATGCTGTTTTGGCTCCAGAGAGGAAGCAGAGTGGAAGAACTCAGAGGGACTCTTCTAGCAGACAGAGGCCCTTCACTCCCACAGTATTCCTGACACTTACTGTCTTCGAGTAGTCTTGTAACCTCCCCTGTAAGCTGAACGTCATGCCACCTGATCTGCCTATTTCAAAGGGCTGCTGATGGGGCTAAGAAAGAACATCTGTGAGATGCAAATCTAAGGATGGCTGGGATTTATGGGAATAGGTTTTTCAGCTCTTTTACTTGGCTAATTCTATGAAAGTCATAAGCTCACGTATGAATTTCTAATATTTCCCCAAATTTTACTTCCAAAACCCAACAGACTCATGTTAAGGATAAGGTCAGAAATAGTCTAAAGTGCCATGACTTAAAAACAATGATGTCGGCTGGGCGTGGTGGCTCATGCCTGTAATCCCAGCACTTTGGGAGGCCGAGGCAGGCAGATCATGAGATCAGGAGATCGAGACCATCCTGGCCAAAATGGTGAAACCCTGTCTCTACTAAAAATACAAAAATTAGCTGGGCATGGTGGTGTGCGCCAGTAGTCCTAGCTACTTGGGAGGCTGAAGCAGGAGAATTGCTTGAACCCGGGAGGTGGAGGTTGCAGTAAGCCAAGACTGTGCCACTACACTCCAGCCTGGGCAACAAGAGCGAAACTTCATCTCAAAAAAAAAAAAAAAAGGCCAGGCATGGTGGCTCATGCCTGCAATCCCAGCACTATGGGAGGCTGAGGCGGACGCATTGCCTGAGGTTGGGAATTTGAGACCAGCCTGGACAGCATGGTGAAACCTCATCTCTATTAAAAATACAAAAATCAGCCGGGCATGGTGGCAGGCGCCTGTAATCCCAGCAACTCAGGAAGCTGAGGCAGGAGAATCTTGGAAGTTGCAGTGAGCCGAGATCATGCCACTGCACTACAGTCTGGGCAACACAGCGAGAATTGGTCTCAAAATAAATAAGTAAATAAAATAAAATAAAGACAAGGCCAGGAGAGGTGGTTCATGCCTGTAATCCCAGCACTTTGGGATGCCAAGGCGGGTGGATCACTTGAGGCCAGGAGTTTGAGACCAGCCTGGCCAACATGGCAAAACCCCATCTGTACTAAAAATACAAAAATTAGCTGGTCATGGTGGCAGGTGCCTATAATCCCAGCTACTCCAGAGGCTGAGGCAGGAGAATTGCAGAAGTTGCAGTGAGCTGAGATCGTGCCACTGCACTCTGGCCTGGGCAACAGAGTGAGACTCTGTCTCAAAAAAAAAAAAAAAAACCAACAATGGGCCGGGCGCGGTGGCTCATGCCTGTAATCCCAGCACTTTGGGAGGCCGAGGTGGACGGATCTCAAGGTCAGGAGATCAAGACCATCCTGGCGAACATGGTGAAACCCTGTCTCTACTAAAAATACAAAAAATTAGCCAGACGCTGTGGCGGGAGCCTGTAGTCCCAGCTACTCGGGAGGCTGAGGCAGGAGAATGGAGTGAACCCGGGAGGCAGAGCCTGCGGTGAGCCAAGATCGCGCCACTGCACTCCAGCCTGGGCTGCAGAGCAAGACTCCGTCTCAAACAAAAACAAAAACAAAAACAAAAACAACCAAAAAAAAAAACCCAACGATGACAGCCAACTTGTTGAACACATACGATGTGACAGATACTATATTATCGGTACATTATGCCACCGTATTTATTTTTATTTTTGAGATGGAGTTTTGCTCTTGCCCAGGCTGGAGTGCAATGGCATGATCTTGGCTCACCACCACCTCTGCCTCCCGGGTTCAAGCGATTCTCCTGCCTCAGCCTCCTGAGTAGCTGGGATTACAGGCATGAGCCCCTACACCTGGCTAATTTTGTATTTTTAGTAGAGAGAGGGTTTCTCCATGTTGGCCAGGCCAGTCTCAAATTCCTAACCTCAGGTGATCCGCCTGCCTTGGCCTCCCAAAGTGTTGGGATTACAGATGTGAGCCACTGCGTCCGGCCTATGCCACCTTATTTTATTCCATCCCCCATTTTAAGGCTTTTTTGGGGGGTAAATTCCTAACGTAATCCAGTTTACAGTACTATAAACAGCCACCTGACTGTTCTCTCTGAGCCACCCCTCTCTCCTCTGTGTGCTGGCTCCAGCCCCCTCCTCAGTGTGCCAGCATAAGGCCCACACTTCACACCAGGTTGTGCACCGAGCCCTTTGTCTCCGCTGCAAAGCATCCTCCTTTGCACAAGTGTTCACTGTGCAGGCAGGGCCCTGGCCTCACTTCTTTCCCAGAGGCTGAGTTTGGGAGTGGGGAAGAAATGGGCCCCTCATTTTCTAGTAGTTCACAAACTGATCTCTCCATGCTGTTATTTTTATTTTGTTAAATTTAAATTGATTTTTACTATTTTAACTTTTTTTTTTTTTTTTTTTTTGAGACGGAGTCTTACTCTGTTGCCTAGGCTGGAGGGCAATGTCATGATCTCAGCTCGCTGCAACCTTCGCCTGCCAGGTTCAAGCGATTCTCCTGCCTCAGCTTCCCGAGTAGCCAGGATTACAGGTGTGTACCACCACGCCCGGCTAATTTTGTATTTTTAGTAGAGACGGGGTTTCACCATGTTGGCCTGGTCTCGAACTCCTGACCTCAGATGATCCACTCGCCTTGGCCTCCCAAAGTGCTGGGATTATAGGTGTTAGCCACCACACCTGGCCACTATTTTTATCTTTTTTTTCTTTTGAGATGGAGTCTTACTCTGTTGCCCAGGCTAGAGTGAAGTGGCATGATCTTGGCTCACTGCAACCTCCGCCTCCTGGGTTCAAGCAATTCTCCTGCCTCAGCCTCCTGAGTAGCTAGGATTACAGGCATTCGCCACCATGCCCAGCTAAATTTTATATTTTGTATTTTTAGTAGAGACAGGGCTTTACCATCTTGGCCAGGCTTGAATGCCTAACTTGTGATCCACCTGCCTTGGCCTCCCAAAGTGTCGGGATTATAGGCATAAGGCACTGCGCCCAGCCTATTTTTCCTTTTTAAGTGATGGGGGGGTCTCATTATGTTGCCCAGGCTGGCCTCGAACTCCTGGCCTCAAGCAATCCTTCTGACTCAGGGTCCCAAGTAGCTGGGACTATGGGCACAAGCCACCCAGCTATTGTTATTTTGAGATGGAGTTTCGCTCTTGTCGCCCAGGCTGGAGTGCAGTGATGCAATCTCGGCTCACTGCAACCTCCACCTCCGGGGTTCAAGCGATTCTCCTGTCAGCCTCCCGAATAGCTGGGATTATGGGCGCATGCCACCACACCCAGCTGATTTTTTTGTATTTTTAGTAGAGACAGGGTTTCATCATGTTGGCCAGACTGGTATCGACTTCCTGACCTCAGGTGATCCACCCGCCTCGGCCTCCCAAAGTGCTGGGATTACAGGCATGAGTCATCCCCCCGGCCCAGCTATTATTATTTTTAACTGTTAATACAACTAATAAGTACCACTGCATGCCTCTCATGTACTAAGTGGTTCATGTTATCACATTCATCTCGTAACAGTCCTGTGGCACAGAGGTCATTATCCTCTTTTATGAATGAGGAGACTGAGGTTACAGAACTTTTGCCTAAGGCCACACAGCTGGGCAGTGGTCAAATGAAGATTTGAACCTGGGGTGTCTGGCTTAAAAGCCCAAGCAATTTCCACTATACTCTGCTGCCTTCCTCTAAAAAACAACAGCTACCAGCTTTGTATAGGATTAGGCAAACCTTATCTTAATCTCCTACATTTATACAGGGATTTGTCATTTTTATAAGGTGCTTTTGATCCCGGTTTTTTTTTTTTTTTTTTTAAAGACAGAATCTCCCTCTGTCGCCCAGGCTAGAGTGCAGTGATGCAATCTTGCACTGTAACCTCTGCCTCCCGGGTTCAAGCAATTATCTGCCTCAGCTTCCCGAGTAGCTGGGATTACAGGCAGCTGCCACCACGGCTGGCTCAGTTTTTGTATTTTTAATAGAGATGGGGTTTCATCTTGGGCAGGCTGGTCTTGAACTCCTGACCTCATGATCCACCTGCCTCAGCCTCCCAAAGTGTTAGGATTACAGGCGTGAGCCACCTCACCCGGCCCTGATCCTGATTTTAAAAAAAGTTTTTTTTTTTTTTGTTTTTTTGGTTTTTTTTGGTAGAGATGAGGTCTCACTACATTGCCCAGGCTGGTCTCAAACTCCTGGCCTCAAGTAATCCTCCTGCCTTGGCCTCCCAAAATGTTGAGCTTATAGGTATGAGCCACTTGGCCTCGATCCTGTTTTTTCATTGGGCTAGCAAAGAAACCCAAATTAGGGCAGGATGGAGCTATGTATCTTATTTCGTAGATGAGAGAACTGAGGCTCAGAGGGCTAAGAGACTTGGCCAAGGTCACACGCCAACTGTGTGCTGGAAGATCTAATTTGTGTGTGTGTTATTTTCAGACAGAGTCTGTTTTGTCCCCCCAGGCTGGAGTGCAGTGGCACGATCTCAGCTCACTGCAACCTCCGTCTCCTGGGTTCAAGTGATTCTCTTGCCTCAGCTTCCCAAGTAGCTGGGATTACAGGCGTCTGCCACCATGCCCAGCTAATTTTTGTATTTTTAGTAGAGATGGGGTTTCGCAATGTTGGCTAGGCTGGTCTCAAACTCCTGACCTCAAGTGATCCACCCGCTTTGGCCTCCGAAAGTGTGGGATTACAGGCATGAGCCACTGTGCCTTGCCTGGAAGATCTAATTTGAATTCTGATCTTCCAACTCCTGAGCTTTTCCCTCTGGTCCAAGGATGCCTTGCTATCATGTCAGTCACCAAGAAATCCCCTCGAGTGTGGCTCAACGTCACCAGGATAAGCATCTTCACCATGATGTGTGTATAGGGCTCTCTCTCGACATGGGAAAAAGTGGCTGCTGACCACCGATAGGCAATTTCCCTTGTACCTCCAGTGTCTTCTTCAGAGTGGAGATGTTTTCACTGCAGACTTCCACGTTGTTCAGAGTCACCTGGGAGATGAGGAAGGAAGAACGTGACTTCCTGCCGACTGTGCCTGCCACCCACTCCAATGACAGACTGGCTGACAGCTGCGCTCCATGAAGCTCAGAGAAGGGCTGGCTGGAGTTCAGACTCGGGCTAGTGAAAGCCCACACCGCTACATCTGAGCAGGACGCTCAGATCTTGGATTGGGCAGAATGGGGAAGCAGGCTGGCCCTTTCTTCTGTGCCTGATACCAGGGAGCCTAAAGCTATCAGGACCTCAGAGTCAGTGAGCTCAGGTTTCAGGTCTTCTTGTACTGTGTTACCTACAGAGCAGAAATGACTCAGGCATACAGGTCTGGGATAAGTTTTGAGGCTCCAAATGGTCAAGCCCCAGGTCAGTGACACAAAGCCTGACATTCATTAAAGAAAAGCTTCCACAGAGCCTGCCACCTATGAGGTATTGTCTCATTCTTTAACTCATGGAGTCTGCCAAATACCCCCACAGAACACATATTATCAAGCCCAGTACATGGGAGGAAATAAGACTCCTCAGAAGGTAAAATGATTTGGCCAGGCGCGGTGGCTCACGCCTGTAATCCCAGCACTTTGGGAGGCCAAGGCAGGTGGATCAAGAGGTCAGGAGTTCAAGACTAGCCTGTCCAACATGGCGAAACCCTGTCTCTACTAAAACTACAAAAAATTAGCCGGGCATGGTGGCAGGCGCCTGTAATCCCAGCTACTCGAGAGACTGAGGCAGGAGAATTGCTTGAACTTAGGAGGTGTAGGTTGCAGTGAGCTGAGATTGCGCTACTGCACTCCAGCCTGGGTGACAAGAACAAAACTCCGTCTCAAAAAAAAAAAAAAAAAATGTAAAAGGATTCACCAAGGTCAGACAGCAACTGATTCAGCAAATATTTACTGAGCACCTGGATGTGTCAGGCATGGTTCTGGGCACTGAGAGAAAGTAATTAACAGAACAGACATGGTCCACCCCTCACAGAACTGACATTCCAGAAGGGAAGCCAGATAGTAAACAAATGCATTATATAATGTCAGGAAGTATAATAAAGCAGGATAAGGGACAGACACTCAGAGTGACAAGGCCACAAAGCTGGAGCCAGGCTTAGAATTTGGGTCTCTGAGCTTCCAGATGGATAAACAGGTGGAGGTTCCTGGGGAGTGGCCACCTGGGGGCATGGAAGCTCCATACCCCTTCCCCCATAATTTGCCCTCTTCATCTCTTCATCTATATCCTATATAATATCCTTTATAATAAACAAATAAACTAAAAAAATGAATTCAGGTCTCCCTACTCTGGTCCAAAGATGACTTTTTTCATAACACGACTGCCTTACAGACTAGGTGCAGAAATACCAATGATAAAAGTAGCATGGGCACGGTGGCTCACTCCTGTAATCCCACACTTTGGGAGGCCGAGATGGGTGGATCACCTGAGGTCAGGAGTTCGAGACCAGACTGGCCAACATGGCAAAACCCCGTCTCTACTAAAAATACAAAAATTAGTCGGGCGTGGTGGCAGGTGCCTGTAATCCCAGCTACTGGGGTTGCTGAGGCAGGAGAATCGCCTGAACCTGTGAGGTGGAGGTTGCAGTGAGCCAAGATCGCGCTATTGCACCCCAGCTGGGGCAACAAGAACGAAACTCCATCTCCAAAAAAAAAAAAAAAGTAGCATGGGGCAAAAGTATTAAGGCACTAATTGCTCTGGCCAATGAGAGGAAAGAACAAACTGTTTTGGTGTGAGGCATTCAAGGAAGGTTCCATGGCAGAGTTGGTAGCTGAGCTGAACATAAAAGGGTAGAACACAATTCTGACAGGAGATGAAGGTGAGAACATTTCTCCACCCCCATCAGCCTCTCTCTAGCTCACTGTCCTATTTGATATTTTCTTTTTTTTTTTGAGACGGAGTCTCGCTCTGTCACCCAGGCTGGAGTGCAGTGGCCGGATCTCAGCTCACTGCAAGCTCCGCCTCCCGGGTTTATGCCATTCTCCTGCCTCAGCCTCCTGTGTAGCTGGGACTACAGGCGCCCGCCACCTCGCCCGGCTAGTTTTTTGTATTTTTTAGTAGAGACGGGGTTTCACCGTGTTAGCCAGGATGGTCTTGATCTCCTGACCTTGTGATCTGCCGTCTCGGCCTCCCAAAGTGCTGGGATTACAGGCTTGAGCCACCGCGCCCGGCCTTGATATTTTCTTAACAGTCCTTAGGATTTCCTGACATTGTCCGGTTTATCTATTTCTTGTCTGCATGGATCTAGCCTGTTTTCTTCACCACTGCATGTCTATACAGCACTGTCTTCCTTTCTGGTTGATGGAAATATTCTAACTGCACTGTCTGGTACGGTAGCCCCCAGTCATATGTGGCTATTGAGCACCTGAAGCTTAGCTAGTACAACTCAGGAAGTGGATTTTTAATTTAAATGTAAATTTCAATAGCTACCTGTGGCTGGTGACTACTATATTGGGCAGTGTAGCTCTAGAACCCAGAACAGTGCCTGAAATTTAGAAGTTTCTCAATAAATATTTGTGGAATGAGTAAGACAGTGAATGAACATATTCTGGAAAGGGGATAATATAAGCAAGTGCAGAATAGCAGAAAACACAAAAAGGTATTTGGGAAATAGCAGACTCAGTTCACAGACACGTGAAGGGAAGTGGCAGGACGTAGAGCTGCGAGGGGCAGAGCCTGATGGGGACTTGGGTGCTCTGCTCCAAAGTTAGCCCTGTGACCTGTGGACAGTGGGCTGGTACTGAGGATTTTTAAAGTAGGTAAATGCCACATGAGCACAGCTGTGGTTCGAGAATACTCATCTAGAGGCCATGTGTGGGAGGAAATAAAGGGCCTGGGGATCCCACTGCTTGTGAACTGGTGTGCTAGGGGCATGATCAGGAAGGCAGGGGTGAGGTAAGGAGGAGTCAGACTTCGAGACATGAGTCAGGAGCTTCCGGATTTCAGCGTAAAAGGAGGATCTCAGAACCCCAGGGGCTGTGATTAGGAAGTCCCTCTCATCTTCCCCAGAGTGCTTCCCTTGTCAGTGTCCTGCAGCCAATGCTGAAAGTCATGATGCTGACAGTGCTGCTTAGGCCACTCTGATGTGGACAGATAAGCCTAAAGGTCTTTCTTTAATATGCCATAACATGAGGCCTCTAATGTCACAAGTTTCCAAATAACTGTCCTGTCATGACAGCTGAAGGATGAAGGCCATAAGTGTTTCCAAGGCATTTAAGAGCACCAAGAATAATTGTCATGAGGACTTATGGATTTGAGTTCAAATGGTATTGATTTCAAAGTTTCCCCTGTACTGACAGCCCTAGCAAGCGTGGATTCACTGGGCTTATTCCCTACCCACAGTGCATGATGTCAGTACAGTTGGAGAATTCATCTTGACAGCCAGATGAATCAAGGTGACATAAAAAATAGGCCCTGCAATGGGAGTGATGACATTTTAAATCCTTGGTGTCAGGAAAACCAGAAACCTGTCACCAAGCATTTAGCATTGCCTTTCTTTTTGGTCTTATCTTCTGGGGCCTCAAACAATGAAACTGTGTTAATGGGAGGTCCTCACAGAGCGAACATGCACTGGCTGGTTTTGGAGACGTGTAGTCAAGTGGTGGAAAATGGAACTGAAAAGGTGGGATGGGTTAGATTTAGGAGGGTTAAACGAAGACATCTAGCTTTGATGTGGTAGGCAGCAAGCAGCCAATGATTATTTCTGAGCACAGAAATGAAAGTAAGTTCTGTAAATAAAATCAAAGAATACAAACAAAATAAAAATTTAAGTTGGTTCATGATGTGATGCTGGTTGCTGGGCATTTTGGCAAAGTTCTCCAAAGGTAACAAATTTCACAGGCAACAGTTTTTTGGATCTGATCTGTTTTTGGCAGCAACCGTCATATCCTAGATTGACAGAAACCATGTCCAGGGCAAACATTTTCTATGACAGGAAGAGAGTGGGGCTGCCTAAACAGCTTTCGTATTGGATCTGTCTCATAACCTGCTACTAGGGGTTCCTCTGCACAGGGATTGGTAGATATTAGCAAGTTCAGGCTTCTGTCTCTGAAAGTAACAGCTCTGAACTCTTTTGGGGGTCACAGATCCTTTTAAGAATATCATAGCCAGGCACGGTGGCTCATGCCTGTAATCCCAACACTTTGGGAGGCCAAGATGGGTGGATCACTTGAGGTCAGAAGTTCGAGACCAGCCTGGCCAACGTGGCAAAACCCAGTCTCTACTAAAAAAAAATTAGCCAGTTGTGGTGGTGCATGCCTGTAATCCTAGCTACTTAGGAGGCTAAAGCAGGAGAATCGCTTGAACCGGTGAGGCGGAGGTTGCAGTGAGCCAAGATCACACCATTGCACTCCAGCCTGGGGAACAAGAGCAAGACTCCATCTCAAAAAAAAAAAAAAAAAAAAAAAGCGTGATAAAAGCTAAGGACCCTGTGTCCAGAAAAATGCACGTGAACATTTTTGCATCCAACCCCACCTGTGAACTACAGATGACAGCTCTGCTACTAGATGTTTCTTTCAGGCTCTGAGCCTCAGGAGTCAAGACTCAGAGTGTGGCCAATGTGGGGGATGGAGCAGAATGGACCTGGACTGTGCTACTCCCGTGCGTGCTAAGACAGCATGTGCCAGAGAGGCCTGATCCTGAGCTTAGGACTCATTTGTATTCTCTCTGGCTCATCATAAACTGGTTGTTGCTTTGTACAAATCTTTTCATCCTTCTGTGCTTCTCCTTTCCACACAACGGCAAGGCTTGCTGCTTTATCACATCTGTCGTTCCAGGTAGCTAAGGGCTTTAATAAGGCCTCCTTTCCAGAGGAATTGAAAGCCTAAGACATGTGCTAGTAGAGCAGTGCTGGCAGGCCTGAAGGACTGGCGCCTGCCCATGCTGCGGGCCTCTCCTCAGAGAAGCAGTCTGGTGGCCTGGCACAGATGGTGCAGTTGGTTCTGTGGCAGATGCAAGCCAAGCTTGACAGTCAGTGGGCTCCTCAGCAGCTGGGCAGCACTCTGGGGAATGAATGCTAGGTGATAGCTGGGCAGCCCAGCCTCTGTTGTGGCTCAGGCTGTTCAGAATACATCCCTGAGTAAGAAATCGTTTCAGAACCTTCTAGGAGGAACTTCTCTTATAAAGGAGAAATTTTCCTTCTATATAGACACTGGAGGAGAGGTCTCTAGCTAGAGGCCAACTATACTGTGGCTTAGCAGTCATAGTGTAACCTCTCAAGATAAACCAACCCAGCTCGTGAGCTGTGGGGTACCTACCAGGAAGGACAGCTTCGCCTCGTCAGTACTCTCGATGCCTTTTGTGTCAAATTTGCCTTGCTGGAGGCTGCTGTGCATGATGTTCACGGCACTTGTCACCCCGCGCTGGATGTCCTGGAAGGTAGTGGCCGGGAAGCCCATCCGCAGCTTGTTACACAGAACATCCCTGGGGGACAGGATGGTATAGAGGGATTGACAGTGCTCAACTTGGCCACCAGGACAGAAAGACCCGTGTCCACCACCCTGACGCAGCAGCACAAGGTGCTCTTTTTTTTTTTTTTTTTTTTTTTTTGAGACGGAGTCGCTCTTCACCCTGGAGTGCAGGGCCGATCCCCCCCCCCCCCCCCCCCCCCCCCCCCCCCCCCCCCCCCCCCCGTTTTTTTTTTTAGAGACCCCCCCTCCTCCCCCCCCCCCCCCCCCCCCACCCCCCCCCCACAAGGTGCTCTTTTAGGGGGTATAACCAGTCCTTAAGACCACTGTAGGAGACCTGAGGAGCCAGGGTATGAAAGTAACCAGCACCCCTCAAGGACACTGATGTGACAAGAACATACAGAGGAGACTGGCCAATCTCCATTGCTTATGAGGCTTTTAGCCATCACCACTGCACTCCAACAAAGCTGTGCAGCTGGCCAGGTGCGGTGGCTCAAGCCTGTAATCCCAGCACTTTGGGAGGCCGAGATGGGCGGATCACGAGGTCAGGAGATCGGGACTATCCTGGCTAACACGGTGAAACCCCGTCTCTACTAAAAAAAAATATGAAAAACTAGCCGGGCGAGGTGGTGGGCGCCTGTAGTCCCAGCTACTCGGGAGGCTGAGGCAGGAGAATGGCGCAAACCCAGGAGGTGGAGCTTGCAGTGAGCTGAGATTGCTCCACTGCACTCTAGCCTGGGCAACAGAGCAAGACTCCGTCTCAAAAAAAAAAAAAAAAAAAAGCTGTGCGGCTTAGTGAATGCAGTACCATGTAGGAGTTGAGAACAGGTTTTGAGTCACTCAGTTCTGGATTCTACCTCTTACTCCTAAGTGGTGGATCTTTGACGAGGATGCAATCTCCCTAAAGCCCAGTTTCCTCATCTATAAAACAGAGCTAATAGTACCTACCTCATAGGGTTGTTATTAGGACCTCAAAAGAGCAGGAGGTTAGCATGGTGCTGACAATGGTACCTAGTGGTGGTATTATTCATCTGAACTGCCTGTTCTCTCTCCTCCGTCTAAGGGCCCATAGCTCCTTCAGTCTAGTCCAGGGAACAGAAATTGGCCTATGAGATATATGGCTGATCAACAGCTTCCTGGAGCCAAGGATACTATCTTAGAGATAGGAGCTTATGTCCCGTATAGAACTTAACTAGAACCATGAGGACAAAGGGCAGAAACAAATGGGCCTCGGGAATCAACAGGAAGGGCCTTTCTGCCTAGAAGGGAGAAAGGGAGTCAACTGTACCTGAAGTCAGACTCCAGCTCTGTGGTGGCGAGGTTGATCATGGCACAGAGACAGTCAATGCTGGAGCTGGACAGAGCCCGTCCAATGCACTTCTTAACAATGTAGAAGACATCATCCACCATGCTGGATGTCAACTGGCCTTTCTCATAGGTGTCCAGAGCCACAGCCTACCCAAAAGGCAAAGTCAACACTGAGGGTCCCAGTTGTGCATGTCATCTTCTAGATGATTCTGGATGGCCCTAGCTCTGCTCCCTTTTCTGTACCTTGTCCATGTTTCTCCCAACATGGCGTGTTCTGGTCACGAACTCATGTGCATCCTCCTTGTCAAAATAGCTCACTTCCCTATTGATCACTAGGTGAACAAATTAAATATTTTGGGCCTTAGCTCTGCAGAGATCCATTACCTGGGGGGTGTAAGACATCTGCAGAGGCCCTACTTCCCTGAGGCTCCTTACCCACAAACCTTCAGGGAGGCAGGGAACAAGTGGGTTCCCTGGAGAGCTGAGCTGTTCTTTTGTAATTCTTGGGAAGGAGGTCCTAGCTGGGTATACAAAGAGCACGACTCCAAAGATGCTCTCTAACCATACAAAATGGTTCCACTCAATCTGCATGAAAGAGTATTCTCGAAGCGGGACCAAAAAATATGACATGCCTCATGCATTTCCTTTAGCCTGGCTTCTTGGACCGGAAACCCCATTTCCAAGAGATGAGTCCTATGTCCTACCTTATTGACAGTCTCCCTCATGAAGTACTCCTCCATGGTAACATATAAGCCAATTAGCTCCTGCATGGTACAGCTCAAAAGGCAGTTATTGAGGAGTTTGTCCAGACACTTCTGGTGCTCTAGGGGACAGCCAAGAAAGGAATACTCATTTTTTTTTCCCCAAGGGAAACAGAGCAACTTTTTTCATTTTTTCAGGTTTCTTTCTAGTCTTTCTTGCAAATATGTACATATTTTACATGGTTATAATCACGATACAGATAGCAATTTTGAATTCTGCTTTAAAAAAGTATATCATAAATATTTTCCATGTTTTCACCTACCTTATTTTTCATGACTATGTGGCATTTAATCAGGTGCATAATCCACATTTTAAAAACTACTCAACTTTTTTTTTTTTTTTTTTGAGACGAAGTTTCGTTCTTGTTGCCTACGCTGGAGTGCAATGGCATGATCTCAGCTCACTGCAACCTCCACCTCCCAGGTTCAAGCAATTCTCCTGCCTCAGCCTCCCAAGTAGCTGGGATGATAGGCATGCACCACCACGCCTGGCTAATTTTGTATTTTTAGTAGAGATAGGATTTTTCCATGTTGAGGCTGGTCTCAAACTCCTGACCTCAGGTGATCTGCCCGCCTCGGCCTCCCAAAGTGCTGGGATTACAGGTGTGAGCCACCGTGCCCGGCCTTATTTTTAACTTTTATGTTGTTTCATGTGAAATTGAGAAAAAAAACCACTCTATTTTTAGACATCTGGTTATTTCCAAATGTTTTGCCATTACTGGAGATAACAGAATATCACAATAATTGGAGATTATAGTGAATACTTTTGTACGAAAAACTTTTTACTCCTTTTCCATTATTCCCTTAGGATTAATTAATAGGAGTCAAAAGATGTTAAGTTTCCATGGCAAAGACAAAAATACTGGTGTAGAGAATATTTCATTCTCTACACCAGTATTGTCCAACAGAATTTCTGTGATAATGAAAATATTTTGGTCAGGTGTGGTGGCTCACATTCGTAATCCCAGCACTTTGAGAGGTCAAGGTGGGAGGATCACTTGGGTCCAGGAGTTTTGAGACCAGCCTGGGTAATAGAGCAATACTCTGTCTCTACAAAAAATAAACAAACAACAAGAAAAGAGAAAACATTCCGTATCTGTTATCTGATATAGTAGCCATCGGTCATGTTAGTGATTGAGCACTTGAAATGTGATGAACGGGCCGGGCGCGGTGGCTCAAGCCTGTAATCCCAGCACTTTGGGAGGCCGAGACGGGTGGATCACGAGGTCAGGCGATCAAGACCATCCTGGCTAACACGGTGAAACCCCGTGTCTACCAAAATACAAAAAAATTAGCCGGGCATGGTGGCGGCGCCTGTAGTCCCAGCTACTCTGGAGGCTGAGGTAGGAGAATGGCGCAAACCCGGGAAGCGGAGCTTGCAGTGAGCCGAGATCTGGCCACTGCACTCCAGCCTGGGCGATAGAGCGAGACTCCGTCTCAAAAAAAAAAAAAAAAAAAAAAGAAATGTGATGAACGTAACTTAGGAACTGAATATTTTTATTTGTTTTATTAAAATTCTTTTATTCCCCAGAATCCAGGTGAGAAGGATGGATTTAAAATTTTATTTAATTGTAATTAAATTTGAATTTGAATTTCAATTCATGAATGGCTACGTATTGGGCAGCACAGCTCTGAACAGTGATAGTCATCATTATTGCTTCTCGGTCTTTTGGCTAAGATCAAATGATAGTCATCATTGACATCAACAAGCAAACTCCAAATGAGCAAACAATTTCCTTTATACACTGATTCTGTAACGCCCCTGCCACGTATTATTGGCACAAGCTATGCGGAATGCCACAGATGCTGGGTAGGTCTCAAGTCCCCAGTCCAAAGAACCCTGCATATATTTGTCCAGCAGGATTTTTTTTTCCTTTAACTCTTGCTTTAGTAGCCAGCAGGAATTAAATGGTTATCTTAAAAACCTAGCGAGTCAATCTGTAAATCAAATTGGACTCCAGCATACCTTTACAAAATTTTTAAAAAGTGTTTATCTTTTATTATTTAATTGAAATTTTTAGAGATGGGGTTTCACTATGTTGACCAGGCTTGGTCTCAAACTCCTGGGCTCAAGCGATCCTTCCTCCTCGGCCTCCCAAAGTGTTGGGATTAGGCGTGAGCCACCATACCCAGCCAAAATTTTTCTTTTAATATAGTGACAAGGTCTTGTCATGTTGCCCAGGCTGGTCTTGAACTGAGCAAGCAATTCTCCTCCCCAGCCTCCCAAAGCGTTGGGATTACAGGTGTGAGCCACTGCACCCAGCCCCGTTTCTTATCAACGTAAATTATTCCTTGAAAAATTGTGACTAGGGGAACTGGGAGACTGAAAGGGACAGGAGGATTCCTGTACATTATATACTCTTTTTTTTTTTTTTTTTCCTGAGACAGAGTCTGGCTCTGTTGCCTGGGCTGGAGTGCAGTGGCGCGATCTCGGCTCTATGAAACCTTCGACCCCTGGAGTTCAAGCAATTCTCCTGTCTCAACCTCCCGAGTAGCTGGGACTACAGGTGCATGGCACCACGCTCAGCTAATTTTTTTATTTTTAGTAGAGATGGGGTTTCACCATATTGGTCAGGCTGGTCTCAAACTCTGACATCCACCCGCCTTGGCCTCCCAAAGAGCTGGGATTACAGATGTGAGCCACCGCACCCGGCCTATGTACTTTGTTTTTTTTTTTAAAACAACAACAACAACAACAACAAAACACTTTACTGAAGTATAATTTCTATCTATACAATTTAAAACAGGGCATCAGTGTCTTCATCTGTAAAGTGATTAGATGGCCTCAAAGATCTAGTCCAATTCTAAAATCCAGTACATTTAGATTTCCTCCTGGGAGTCAATTTGTCTACAGACCACCAGGGGCTAATAAGTCCCAGTTGTTTCCTTAATAAGAGATCTGTGGCTTAACTATTAAGAAACACTGCCGATTATATCTCAACCCTCCCCAAAAATATGGGAAATATTTTTACCTTGCTTCACTTCTTCCGAGGCCATGGAGTCCCCCACCTCAAAATCAGAGCTAATCCTCTTCCTGAGGAAGCGTAAGTAGAGCTCGCTGCGGGCATTCATCAGGGTGACCTCAGTCAGGATGGGGTCCAGTTCTCTGAGACACATGGAGCAGAAGGAACAGGAGGACAGTGGATTCCCTTAGACACAAGAGCTACAGGGAAAACAGAGTCCTGAATTCCCCCTCCCCACTGGGCCCATAAGGAACAGCTCTGCCAGATGGCCCTCCTAGCTCGGCTGGCCCAATTAGATTCAGAGACAGGTGTCAACCACATTTTCCATTTACCTGTTTCACCTAAATCATTCACTCCCTAAAATTCTGCCAGACCTAAATAAAAGGTTGGGAGGTGTGTCTTCTTTTCTTTTATTTTCTTTCTTTCTTTTTTTTTTTTTTGAGATGGAGTCTCACTGTGTCGCCCAGGCTGGAGGGCAGTCGCGCAATCTCGGCTAACTGCGAGCTCCACCTCCTGGGTTCACACCATTTCTCCTGCCTCAGTCTCCTGAGTAGCTGGGACTACAGACTACATGCCTGGATAATTTTTTGTATTTTTATTAGAGATGGGGTTTCACCATATAAGGAAGGATGGTCTCAATCTCCTGACCTTGTGATCCACCCGCCTCAGCCTCCCAAAGTGCTGGAATTACAGGCATGAGCCACCGCGCCCAGCCTGTTTCCTTTTCTTTTCTTTTTCTTTCTTGAGACAGAGTCTCACTGTCGCCCAGGCTGGAGTGCAGTGGCGCAACCTTGGTTCACTGCAAGCTCCGCCTTCCAGGTTCTTGCCATTCTCCTGCCTCAGCCTTCTGAGTAGCTGGGAGTACAGGTGCCTGCCACCACGCCCGGCTAATTTTTTGTATTTTCAGCAGAGACAGGGTTTCACCGTGTTAGCCAGGATGGTCTCGATCTCCTGACCTCGTTATCCACCTGCCTCAGCCTCCTAAAGTGCTGGGATTACAGGTGTGAGCCACCGTGCCTGGCCTCTTTTTTTTTTTTTGAGATGGAGTCCTGCTCTGTTGCCCAGGCTGGAGTGCAGTGGTGCAATCTCGGCTCACTGCAACCTCCACCTCCTGGGTTCATGCCATTTCTCCTGCCTCAGCCTCCCGAGTAGCTGGGACTACAGGTGCCCACTACCATGCCCAGATAAATTTTTGTATTTTTACTAGAGATGGGGTTTCACTGTGTAAGGGAGGATGGTCTCGATCTCCTGACCTCGTGATCCACCCGCCTCGGCCTCCCAAAGTGCTGGAATTACAGGCGTGAGCCACCGCGCCCGGCCTATTTTCTTTTCTTTCTTTTTTTTTTGAGACAGAGTCTCACTGTGTCGCCCAGGCTGGAGTGCAGTCGCGCAATCTCGGCTAACTGCGAGCTCCACCTCCTGGGTTCACGCCATTCTCCTGCCTCAGCCTCCCGAGTAGCTGAGACTACAGGCGCCTGCCACCATGCCCGGCTAATTTTTTGTATTTTTAGTACAGATGGGGTTTCACCATGTTAGCCAGGATGGTCTCGATCTCCTGACCTTGTGATCCACCCGCCTCAGTCTCCCAAAGTGCTGGGATTACAGGCATGAGCCACCGTGCCCAGCCATTCGTCTTGCTCTGTTGCCCAGGCTGGAGTGCAGTGATGCAATCTCAGCTCACTGCAACCTCCACCTCTAGGTTCAAGTGAGTCTCATGCCTTAGACACATTAGTAGCTGGGATTAGAGGTATGTGCCACCCCACCTGGCTGATTTTTGTATCTTTAGTAGAGATGGGATTTTACCATGTTGGCTAGGCTGGTCTCAAACCCCTGGCCTCAAGTGATCCTCCTGCCTTGGCCTCTTAAAGTGCTGGGATTATAGGCATGAGCCACAATGCCTGGCCTCTTTTGTGGTTTGAATAAAGATTATCTATGACCAGGTGCAGTGGCTCACGCCTGTAATCCCAGCACTTTGAGAGGCCGAGGCGGGCAGATCACGAGGTTAGGAGATCAAGATCATCCTGGCTATCATGGTGAAACCCTGTCTCTACTAAAAATACAAAAAATTAACCAGGTGTGGTGGTGGGCACCTGTAGTCCCAGCTACTCAGGAGGCTGAGGCAGGAGAATGGTGTGAATCTGGGAGGTGGAGCTTGCAGTGAGCAGAGATTGTGCCACTGCACTACAGCCTGGGCGACAGAGCAAGACTCTGTCTCAAAAAAAAAAAAAAAAGTAAAAGTTTGGATGGATTACAGTGGCTCATGCCTGTAAGTGCTTTGGGAGGCCGAGGCAGGGGGATCACTTGAGATCTGGGGTTTAAGACCAGCCTGGGCAACATAGCAAGCCCTCATCTCTACCAAAAATTAAAAAATTGGCTGAGCATGGTGGCTCATGCCTGTAATCCCAGCACTTTGGGAGGCTGAGGTGGGTGGATCACCTGAGGTCAGGAGTTTGAGACCAGCCTGGCCAACATGGCAAAACCTCATCTCGGCCGGGCGCAGTGGCTCACGCCTGTAATCCCAGCACTTTGGGAGGCTGAGGCGGGCAGATCGCGAGGTCAGGAGATCAAGACCATCCTGGCTAACATGGTGAAACCCCGTCTCTACTAAAAACACACACAAAAAATTAGCTGGGCAAGGTGGTGGGCGCCTGTAGTCCCAGGTACATGGGAGGCTGAGGCAGGAGAATGGCGTGAACCCGGGAGGTGGAGCTTGCAGGGAGCCAAGATCGTGCCACTGCACTCTAGCCTGGGCAACAGAGTGAGACTGTTGTCTAAGACAAACAAAAAAACAAACAAACAAACAAAAAACTCATCTCTACTAAAAATACAAAAAAATTAACCGGGTGTGGTGGCACACACCTATAGTCCCAGCTACTTGGGAGGCTGAGGCAGGAGAATTGCTTGAACCTGGGAGGTGGAGGTTGTGGTGAGCCGAGACCACACCACGCCACTGCACTCCAGCCTGGGCAACAGAGCGAGACTGCCTCAAAAAAAAAAAAAAAAAAAAAAAAAAAATTAGCTAGGAGTGGTGACTGTAATCCTAGCTAGTCAGGAGCTACTCGGGAGGCTGAGGCTGAGCTACTCGAGGCTCACCTGAGTCCACGAGTTGGTGGTCACAGTGAGCTGGGATTCTGTCGCTGTACCACTTCACTCCAGCCTGGGAAACAGAGACCCTATTTCTAATTAAAAAAAAAAAAAGTAAAAGTTTAAAATTTTAGGATAGTAGTCACCTTTGTGGGAAGGGAAGAGGAGAGTCACTCTGGGGGCTTCAAAAGTGTAGTCATGCTACATAAGAACATTTTGGTCAAAAATGAATTGCTGGGCTGGGCATGGTGGCTCAAGCCTGTAATCCCATCACTTTGGAAAGCCTCTGGGAGGTGAGAGAATCACTTGAGCCCAGGAGTTCTAGACCAGCCTAGGCAACATGGCAAAACCTCGTCTCTACAAAAAATACAAAAATTAGCCCAGTGTGGTGGTGTACACATATGGTCCCAGCTACTCAGAAGGCCGAGGTGGGAGGATTGCTTGAGCCTAGGAGGTCGAGGCTAAGTGAGCCATGATCATACCACTGTACTGCACTCTGGCCTGGGCAACAAAGCAAGACCCTATCTCAAAAAAAAAAAAACAAAAAAAAAAAAACCCCCAAAACAACAAGAAAAAAAACTGTATCGGTATACACAAGAGCGTTCCCATAATATTATAATACTGTATTTTTACTGTACCTTTTCTATGTTTAGATATGTTTAGATACACAAGTACTTACCATTGTGTTCTAATTGCCTATGGTATTCAGTACAGTAATATGCCATACAGGTTTACAGCCTAGGAGCAATAAGCTGCATCATATAGCCTACGTGTGTAGTAGGCTAAGTACACTCTATGATGTTGACACAATGGAAGTCGCCTAGTGATGTATTTCTCAGAATGTACTCCAGTTGTTGACAGGGTATGGTGGCTCATGCCTATAATCTCAGCACTTTGGGAGGCCATGGTGGGCAGATCACTTGAGGTCAGGAGTTCGAGACTAACCTGGCCATCATAGCGAAACCCTGTCTCTACTAAAATTATAAAAAATTAGCTGGGAGTGGTGGTGCACGCCTGTAGTTCTAGTTACTTGGGAGCCTGAGGGAGGAGAATCACGTGAACCCGGGAGGCAGGGGCTGCAGTGAGCCAAGATCATGCTACTGCACTTCAGCGTGGGTGACAGAGTGAGACTCTGTCTCAAAAAAAAAAAAAAAAAAAAAGTATTCCAGTCATTAAATGACACGTGATTGTACTGATTTTTATTTTATTTTATTTTATTTTAGTTTTTATTTTTTGAGATGGAGTCTCGCTCTGTAACCCAGGATGGAGTGCAGTGGTGCGATCTCGGCTCACTGCAACCTCTGCCTCCTGGGTTCAAGCGATTCTCCTGCCTCAGCCTCCCGAATAGCTGGGACTACAGGCACGCATCACCATGCCCAGCTAATTTTTGTATTTTTAGTAGAGAAGGGGTTTCACCATATTGGCCAGGCTGGTCTCGAACTCCTGACCTTGTGATCTACCTGCCTCGGCCTCCCAAAGTGCTGGGATTACAGGCGTGAGCCACCACGCCCAGCTGATTATGATTTATTACACATTTTATTTACACATACTTTTGTTCATGATACATTCCACTGAAAAATAAGAGTAATTGATAAAATACTTCAAAAACACAGACCACATTGTAACAGAGTCGTCTGAATTATATATACATGGTTACCAATTCAAACTCTTGTGGGCTGAAGAAAAGAGGATTTTTACCTTGGTTCGATTTTTTCTGTTGTAGAATTTCTCATCAAGTTGTTCTGAACATGCCGGAACTGCAACATACCACAGGAATGAGAATATTCTTCCCCACTCCCATATCTATTGGCCTCTTGCTGGTCACTCCAAACTTTTGGCACACAAGAATGTTTAGGTTTAGTTTGCTTACTGGGTTTACCTTCCCTTCAAGCCAGCAGTGGGCTTTCAAGATGACAGGCCAAAGATTTGTTTTTGGGTTGGATGCTAATACTACTCACTTCTATTACTGTGCTTAAAAGTCATGCTAATAGTGTTCCAATAGACTACTGTTTATAGTGTCCTAGTCTGGAGTTCTAGAAATACAATTGTATGAGGCCACTCCTATTTCTATGTTGTACTTTTACTTTCTCTGCTCAAAAGAAGGAAAAAATAAAGTTCTGAAAAAGCAAACGTTATCTTTAACATCTGAGGAATGAAGGGGAAATTGGAGACAATTACTTGGACACTTAATAGGACCTCAAAAAACAGAATTGTCATTTTATCACCAGAGGGCACTGTTGCACATTTTATGATAGAGAACTGGTCTACTACTTATGCTGTGTTCTTTTCAGGAAGCCCTTTTTATTTGTTTTGGTCTTGAACTGAGGCCATCCTCATCTCGACAACACCTCAAGTCCAAGGTAAGCTGGCAATGGGCAAGATGCAGGCCAGTTTGTGCTGAGCATTAATTTTTCTCCTGTCTGCACCTTTCTTCACTGTTCCCCCCCAAGTTATTCTACTCAGTGTTCCTGGCTAAAGCTGCTACCAAACCCCACCTGGAGCTTCCCCTGCTCACCTGCTGGTGGTAGTCCCTTTGCTTGATGAACTTGTCTACCACCTTCTCCACCTGTCTGTCACATTCCACCTGCAGATATTTGATCAGGGTATACAGTCTCCCTGGCCCATAATAGGTCTCCACTATTGGTTGGTGTGTCTCCACAATGCGGGCAATCCCTAGAAGGGAGGAAGCAAGAAGGTTGTAGTATTCTTCCTACAAAATAAACTTGCTCCATCTGGGACTAACCGAGGGTCTAGGTCAATCCTTTTGGCTGCTTCACTTTCTAAAATGAACACAAAATAGGCCTTGTCAATGCTAGGGGTTTCTAAGCAAATATGTTAAATGTGCACAGTGCTTGGTACATCAGCAGGCATTTGGTAAGTTACATTGATACTATTTTCTACAGCAGCATCTTTGGAATCAGCATCACTCGCTTTTCAGTAATTTATTTTAGAGTTAAATTCATTCTTACGGAGTTTGGGGTTTGAGGGTTAGGCAGGATCAAAACACTGGAGAGACTCTAATCTTAGCTTATCAGGCACTGAATCTGGAAGTTATTTAATTCTCCACTCAATTAATACACAGTAAACTACATGATTAAATTAAAGTCATCAAACTAGAAGGGTGAGAAGAAAGGCTAGGATGCAGGTGTCATACAGAAATGTCTCCAGTCTCTCTAGAGTGGAGAAAGAGGCTCACCTTCAAACAGAAGAGTAAGTGTATCTGCAAAGATGACTGCAGCTCTCCGATCACTCATGTCTGTCCCCAGCACCATGAGCAGATTCTCCTCAGCTTTACTGGCCACCTAAAAAAGGAGAAGACCCACATACATTCCCCAGAAAGGCCAGCCTTACACCAGGTATGTCTCAATTTTCCAAAAAGGCCTCCCACCGGCTTTCTTTTTTTTCACATTTCCCTTGATGTTTAGAAGCCCAGGCAGCACAGAGGAAACTCCCTTGAGGGACAGTCTGAGCATCAGGCAGGACAAGGAATGTGAGCATGGTGTAGCTCCTCTTCCATTATTTTCTTCTCTTGGAAAATATGGACTGCCATTAGCCAAGGGAGAGAGTCCTCAGTTCCAACAATCTCAAAGTGTAACTTTCTATCATTTTTTAAAATAAGAGATAGGGTCTCGCTCTGTTGCCTAGGCTGGAGTACAAGGGAGCCACAGTCGTAGTTCACTGTGGCCTTGAACTCCTGGACTCAAGTGATCCTCTCACCTCAGCCTCCTGAGTAGCTGGAACTATAGGCAAGAGCCACCATACCTGGCTAATTTTTAAAAAATTTCTGTAGAGATGGGGTCCTGCTATGTTGCCCAGACTGGTCTCGAACTCCTGGCCTCAAGCAGTCCTCTTGCCTCAGCATCCCAAAGTGCTGGAATTATGTGAGCCATTATGCCTGGCATGCTATCATTAATAGTGCTTTCTCAAGCAGGACAAAACCTGGGTACTGCAGAAGGGACTTTTACTGGATTAAAGGTAGAAGCCATTTCTAGGTCCCAGGTGGCAAAGTATACTGATAAAAAAAGTACCATAGAGCAGGTTTTTTTGTTTTTTGTTTTTTTTTTTGAGATGTAATTTCGCTGGTCACCCAGGCTGGAGTGCAATGGCACAATCTCAGCTCACTGCAGCCTCTGCCTCCCGGATTCAAGCGATTCTCCTGTCTCAGCTTCCCGAGTAGCTGGGATTACAGGCACCTGCCACCACGTCTGGATAATTTTTGTATTTTTTTTAGTAGACACGGGGTTTCATCATGTTGGCCAGGCTGGTCCTGAACTCCTGATCTCAGGTAATCCATCCGCCTCAGCCTCCCAAAGTGCTGGGATTATAGGCGTGAGTCACTGCGCCCGGCCTGTATTTTGTTTTTCATTAATTTTTTAGAATGAGTAAAATGCATACTTAAACATTCCAAAGGAACAAAGGAATATTCAGTGAAAAGTGGTTCTTCTTCTAACCTGTGTCTCTTAATTTCCCAATTTTCTTCAGAAGTGACCATTGTTAACCCTTCCAAAAGAAATCCTACGCTTATACAAATATATCTTGATTGCTGACTCCCTCATTTTAAACAGGAATGACAACATATTGTTTTATACCCTGTTTAACAAACCACGTTAGAGAATAAAATATGTCAGCGCTTAGCGAACGGCATCATTTTTCTTAACGGCATCATTTTTCTTAACGACATCATAATGGTCTGACAGAGAATTTTTTTGTGGGAGGGGAATGACACACATAGACATATAGCTAAAAAAACAGCTGGGTGGGGTGGTAGTCCCAGGACTTTGGGAGGCTGAGATGGGAGGACTGCTTGAGGCCACGAGTTTGAGACCAGCCTGGGTAACACAGTGAGACCGTTTCTCCAAAAAAAAAAAAAAATTAGCAACGTACGGTGGCATGTGCCTGTAGTCTCCACTGCTTGGGAGGCTGAGGCAGGATTGCTTGAGTTTTAAAAGAGTGATTCAGGCTGGGCGCAGTGGCTCACACCTATAATCCCAGCACTTTGGAAGGCTGAGGCGGGTGGATCACCTGAGGTTGGGAGTTTGAGACCAGCATGACCAACATGGGGTAACCCAGTCTGTACTAAAAATACAAAATAAGCTGGACGTGGTGGCGTATGTCTATAATCCCAGCTACTTGGGAGACTGAGGCAGGAGAATTGCTTGAACCAGGAGGCGGAGGTTGCAGTGAGCTGAGATCATGCAATTGCACTCCAGCCTGAGCAACAAGAGTGAAACTCCATCTCAAAAAAAAAAAAAAAAAAAAAAAGAATGATTCAACTTGTCAGAGAACTTGCATTTTAATTTCATATGCTTTCATCTGGTCTGTTGGAAATGAATATGCATTGGCAGATGTCTTGGCCATGCCTGGTACACAGTAGGCTGGCAACAGGTGTGTTGAATGAACACACGCATCCAGTCCTGCCCGGCTACACAGCAAGGGCAGTAAGGGGAGTCATATCCAGAAGAGAGAAAGTATCCATAGAAAGTGGATCCATCCAGTGCCCCAATCTGTAGGCAGAGAGCCACACAATTATCCTGCCAAGCAATCAGGGTCCATACCTGCTTGCAAAGGTATTCTGAGAACTTTCTTAATCCCTCCTCATGCAGACCCAGCAGTGGGAATATCTTGAAGAAGCGCTCCACCTGGGGCAGATCACCTTCCTTGGTGGCAATGGCAAACTTCTCTGCCACAATGGCTTTGAGACGTTGCTCAGCTTCCTGCAGCAATTTCAGGTTGGCATCAATCATGCTCCCTGCTCAACAGGGAGAAAATGAAAATTCAAGTAAAGAATGGTACTGTGTCAGGTCCATGTCACTTTGTGTAATACTATTCATCCAGCAAATACGTATTAAGTACTTACTATGTGCAAGGTGCTGTGCTAGTAATATATATGACTACATGATGAATCAGCCCTGATCCTACCATCACAGAAGTTAGGATCAAGTAGAAGAGATCAAGTTTGTGCACAAATAATAATAGTGAAATACAGTACATGATGTGTCATAAGAAAGGTGCCAAAGGATGGGCACTGTGGCTCACGCCTGTAATCCCAGCAGTTTGGGAGGCCAAGATGGGTGAATCACAAGGTCAAGAGATTGAGACCATCCTGGCCAACATGGTGAAACCCCATCTCTACTAAAAATACAAAAATTAGCCGGGCGTGGTGGCGTGCGCCTGTAGTCCCAGTTACTCGGGAGGCTGAGGCAGAAGAATCCCTTTAACCTGGGAGGCAGAGGTTACAGTGAGCCAAGATCATGCCAGTCTGGCAACAGAGCGAGATTCCGTCTCAAAAAAAAGAAAGGTGTCAAAAAGTCACATTTCTGGTTAAAGTAATGAGAAAAGGCTTCCTAGAGAAGGTGACATCCCACCTCTCGAAGATGGGCAGGATTCTGACACCTGCACAGGAGGAACAAACATTCCACGCAAAGGGAATGAAATATACGAAGTGATAGAAGCAGAAAGATGAAAAGAATATTTGCAGAGTATTCCAAGTAGCATATTCTGTGGCATATGGAGGAGCTTGAGAAATACTTGCACAATGAATGGATGCATAAGTGAATACCATTAAATAAGGCTAGAAAGACAGGGTGTGTCAAGATCATGGAAGATCTAAAACATCAGACTAAGAATTTCATTTTAAGAGTAGGCAATATGGTCAAGTGCAAAGAACCCGCTGGTCAGAGAATCAGTAGATCTGGATTCAGCTTCCTTTTCCATAAAATGGGAATACAGTAGTCCCTTCTTATCTGTAGGGGATCCATTCCAAGACCATTATGGATGCCCGAAACCATCGACAGTACTGAACCTTGAATATACTATGTTTTTTCCTATACATGCATATTTACGATAAAGTTTAATTTGTAAATTAGACATATTAAGAGATTAACAATATATAATAAAATATAACAATATACCATAAAAAAAGTTATGCAAGTATAGCCTCTTTTTAAAAAATATCTTATTGTACCGTACTCACCCTTCTTGTGATAAAGGGACAGACAGGATGGCACAAGATTTTATCACACTACTCAGAACAGCAAGCAACTTAAAACTAGTAAGTTGTTTATTTCTGGAATTTTTCCTTAATATTTTTGGACTAAGGTTGACCATGAGTAACTGAAGCTGCAGGTAACTGAAATGGCAGAAAGTGAAACCACACATAGCGGGGACTAGTTTAACAAAGCCTGCCCCAGGATGGTACAGGACCTACGTATGGCCTACTACCAGATAAGAAAACTTCCTGGCTGGGCACGGTAGCTTAAGCCTATAATCCCAGCACTTTGGGAGGCCAAGGCGGGCAGATCACCAGAGATCAGGAGTTCGAGACCAGTCTGTCCAACATGGTGAAAGGTGTGGTGGTGTGTGCCTATAATCCAGCTACTCAAGAAGCTGAGGCAGGAGAATCGCTTGAACCCAGAAGGCAGAGGTTGCAGTGAGCCGAGATCGTGCCACCGCACTCTATCCTGACAAGAGTGAGACTCCGTCTCAAAAAAAAGAAAAAGAAAAAAGAAAACTTCCTAAAAACTGATGTGTTTTTATTGGTCGAGTCTGCTTACTTCAGATCACAGATGATTTTAACTAAAAACCAACAGTTTGGGATGCTGACCCTCTTTGCCCTGTCGGCTGAGCTCAATGACTGACTTGTCCAGGCACAAGTAGCGATGAATGTGGGCTGCAGCCTGCTCATAATCTTCATTCCTCAAAGCAGTCTGAACTCCATCCATGCAGAACTTCAGGTCCAAGATGTCATCAGCTCTCTGAATGGCCTGATAGAGGCGGTTCTGCAAAAAGATTTGGTACTTAGAAACAATGTCCTATTCTTTCAAAAACACCCCTCAAGAAGGTAGGGAGATTCAGGAGCTGAAACTGGTCAACCATATGTCCTTTTAAGCTGTCAATAGCAATCTCACAAACACCACCATTACTGTTAACGCAACTGTTATTGATGACGATCAAGACCATTGACAGGTATCATACAATTTTAATAATGTGATCAAATCATTCTTTTTTTTTTTTTTTTTTTTTTTTGAGACAGAGTCTCGCTCTGTCCCCCAGGCTGGAGCATAGTGGCTGGATCTCAGCTCCGCCTCCCGGGTTTACGCCATTCTCCTGCCTCAGCCTCCCGAGTAGCTGGGACTACAGGCGCCCGCCACCTCGCCCGGCTAGTTTTTTGTATTTTTTTTTAGTAGAGACGGGGTTTCACCGTGTTAGCCAGGCTGGTCTCGATCTCCTGACCTCGTGATCTGCCTGTCTCGGCCTCCCAAAGTCCTGGGATTACAGGCTTGAGCCACCGCGCCCGGCCAAATCATTCTTTTTTTTTAGACACAGTCTCACTCTGTGATCCAGGCTGGAGTGCAGTGGCGCAATCATGGCTCACTGCAACCTCTGCCTCCTGGGCCTAAGCTATCCTCCTACCTCAGCCTCCCAAGTAGCTGGGATTACAGGCGTGTGCCACCAAGCCTGGCTAGTTTTTGTATTTTTTGTAGACGCAGGGTTTCACCATGTTTCCCAGGCTGGTCTCAAACTCCTGAGCTCAAGCTATCTGCCGGCCTTGGCCTCCCAAAGTGCTGAGATTACAGGAGTAAGCCACCATGCCTGGCCTACTTCATTTTCTTACCTAATTGCCCTGGATAGAACCATACAGCCACCAACTCATATATTAAAAAAAAATTTTTTTAAACATGCTTGCTTGTTCTAGAGACATAGTAAGACACCCTTGTCTTGTTCCTCATCTTAGGAGGAAAGAATAACATCTTTCACCAGTAAGTATGATGTAAGCTGAGGGTTGTTTTTTTAAAAAAATTTTTGTAGAGATAGGGTCTCACTATGTTCCAAAGTTTGGTCTCAAACTTCTGGTCTCAAGAGATCCTACTGCTTTGGTCTGCCAAAGCGTTAGGATTATAGGCATGAGCCACCATACCTGGCCAGCTGTGGTTTTTCACAGATGCCCTTAATCAGGCTGAGAAGTTCCCCGCTATTCCAAATTTGTTGAGTGTTTCTACCATGAAAGGGCACAGAATTTTGTCAAATGTTTTCTTCTGAGTCTATAAGGTGATCATGTGTTTTTTGTCCTTTTTTCTATTAATACGGTGTATTATTAGGTTGGTGCAAAAGTAATTGTGGTCTTGGCCATTACATTTAATTGATTTTCAGATGTTAAATCAACCTTGTCTTCCTAGGATAAATTCCACTTGGCCATAGTATATAATCCTCTTTATATATTGCTAGACTTGCTTTGCTAGGTTTTGTTGAGTATCTCTTTTTTTTTTTTTTTTTTGAGACAGTCTTGCTCTGTTGCCCAGGCTGGAGTACAGTGGCATGATCTCAGCTCACTGCAAGCTCCGCCTCCCAGATTCATGCTATTCTCCTGCCTCAGCCTCCTGAGTAGCTGGGACTACAGGCGACTGCCACCACACCCGGCTAATTTTTTGTATTTTTAAGAGACAGGGTTTCACTGTGTTAGCCAGGATGGGCGCGATCTCTTGACCTCGTGATCCACGCGTCTCAGCCTCTCAAAGTGCTGGGATTACAAGTGTGAGCCTCCACACCCGGCTTGTTGAGTGCCTTTCTGTCTATATTATAAGAGCTACTGGTCTGAAATTTTCTGTGATATTTTTGTCTGGCTTTGTTATCTCACATTAGATTTCTATTGGAAGGTGCTCTTCTAATCTCTAATGTGGTAGCTTTTTTTTTTTTTTTAATAGAAGCTGGCATTTATTAACTCATTTATTTATTTTTAATTTGCAACTCCACTCTGCAACTCAGGCTGGAGTACAGTGGCATGACCTTGGCTCACGGCAATCTCTGCCTCTTGGGGTTAAGCGATCCTCCTGCCTTGGCCTCCCAAGTAGCTGGGACTATAGGTGTGCGTCACCACACCTGGCTAATTTTTGTATTTTTTAGTAGAGACAGGGCTTCGCCATGTTGCCTAGGCTGGTTTCAAACTCCTGGACTCAAGAGATCAGCCTGCCTCAATCTCCTAAAGTGCTGGGATATAAGTGTGCACCACCATGCCCAGCTCATTTTTGTATTTTTTTGTAGAGACAAGGTTCTCCCATGTTGCCCAGGCTGGTTTTGAACTCCTGGGCTCAAGCAATCCTCCTGTTTTGGCCTCCTAAAGTGATGGGATTATAGGTGTGAGTCACCACGCACAGCCCCATTGACATTTTGATGTTTGAGTTAGTAGAAGGCAGTAAAGAAGCTACTGGCCAGGCAAGGTGGCTCACACCTGCAATCCCAGCATGTTGGGAGGCCGAGGAGGGCAGATCACCTGAGGTCAGGAGTTTGAGGCCAGCCTGGCCAACACGGCGAAAGGCGGAAGGATAACTTGAGCCCAGGGGTTCAGGATCAGCCCAGGTAACATGGCAAAACCCCATCTCTACAAAAAATACAAAAACTAGCTGGGCATGGTGGTGGATGCCTGTAGTCCTAGCTCCTCAGGAGGCTGAGGTGGGAGAAGTGCTTGAGCCCAGGAAGTTGGGGCTGTAGTGAGCTGTGATTGCACCACTGCACTCCAGCCTGGGCGACACAGCAAGACCCTGTCTCAAAAAAGAAAAGCTCGATGTATTACCTTTGCCAGGTCAAGCTGACGAACTTTGCTGGACACATTCTCAGCCAGGTTGCAGGTAAAGGTGATCATTCCAGCCAGCTGCTTTGCGTCTCCCTCAATCAGCTGCAGGTTAGGACTAGAGAAACACATAGTCAGCATACACATAAACCATAGGGCAGAGGGTAAGAGAGAGAAACTTTTCTTTGCATATGGACACTGTGTCTTCTACTTCTTTCATACCTACCTATAACTCTTAGCTCAGTTTGCTCTGCACTCAGCTTTTTCTCAAGAATGTTTGACTGTAAACTCAGATCTATACTTGATAAAAAATTAACTCTTTTTTTTTTTTTTGAGATGGAGTCTTGCTCTGTCGCCAGGCTGGAGTGCAGTGGCGCGATCTCGGCTCACTGCAACCTCTGCTGTCTGGGTTCAAGTGATTCTCCTGTCTCAGCCTCCTGAGTAGCTGGGACTACAGGCATGTGCCACCAACCCCAGCTAATTTTTGTATTTTTAGTAGAGACATGGTTTCACTAGGTTGGCCAGGAGATGGTCTTGATCTCTTGACCTTCTGATCCACCTGCCTCAGCCTCCCAAAGTGCTGGGATTATAGGTGTGAGCCACCGTGTCTGGCCAAAATTAACTTATAAAACCAATAAAGACACCCATAAATAGGTACAACCAAAGAATTAGAGAACAAATTCTCTCAATTGCTAAGTGAGCAAAAGACGCACTAACCAGTACTCTGTGAGAGGATGGTGAGATCAAAGAACAACTTGTTTTTTTTTTGAGACAGGTTCTCACTCTGCCACCCAGGCTAGAGTGCAGTGGCACGATCATAGCTCACTGCAGTTTCCAACTTCTGGGCTCGAATGATCTTCCTGTCTCAGTCTCCTGAGTAGCTGAGACTATAGGCGCACACCACCATGCCCAACTAATTTATTTATTTATTTATTTTTATTTTCTGTTTTTGAGACAGGGTCAAAAGTGATCCTCCAGATGTGGCCTCCCAAAGTGCTGGGATTACAAGCATGAGCCACTACTCCCAGCCAAGGAACAATTTTTATGACTAACAAATACACCCAGTCTATAAAAATGCTGGTTCTCAGCTTGGCGCAGTGGCTTATGCCTGTAATCCTAGTACTTGGGAGGCCAGGCAGGTGGATCACTTGAGGTCAGGAGTTTGAGACCAGCCCGGCCAACATGGTGAAACCCTGTCCCTACTAAAAATACAAAAATTGGCTGGGCATGGTAGCACATGCCTGGAATCTCAGCTACTCAAGAGGCTGAGGCAGGAGAATTGCTTGAACCTGGGAGGCAGAGGTTGCAGTGAGCCGAGATTGTACCACTGCACTCCAGCCTGGGGGACAAGAATGAAGCTCCATCTCAAAAAAAAAAAAAAAAAAAAAAAAAAAAAGGTGGTTGTCACACTTGGGCTATGCATTAGAATCACTTGGTAGGCTTGTTAAAATACATCTTCCTGGACCCCAGACCTAGAGTTTCTGATTTTGTAAGTTTGGCATAGGGCCCTAGGATTTGCATTTCTAACAAGGTGTGATGCTTGTACTGCTGGTCCAAGGAGTCTTTGAAAACCATGGAACTAATACCCTTAGTTGTTCACTTTACCTTGAGATAATACCTTTTATATTTCAAGCTCAACTGGTGTTTATAACAGAAAGTTTAAAAAATGGTCACTTGTCCAATTGACCCTGTTGGAATTTACATTAGCTCTTTCTGAGATGTACAGACTCACCCCATTCGGTGGAGAGTGACCATCTTACTTTCAATGCTGTTTTGCTGTTCCAAAAGAGCATCCAGCTCTCTCTCCACCACTTTCTGAAACACAGAGAAACATCCTGTCAGCAGAATCATCAGAAGGAACCTTAAGAGTTATCTAATCCAATTACTTAGCTGAAGGGTGAATCGCATTTCCAAATCCTTTTTTCCTTCCACTATGCTCTCCTTAGACTTTAATAATGCTTCATTTTGCACTTATGTTGCATGATTGATATCTTACATGTATCTTGTTCCATCTGGCAGATGAGCACCATAATGGGCAGAAATAAACTTTTAGTCAGTATTATTAGCATAGTGCCTAATATAGGAAGGCATTTAAAATACAATGCCTGGCCAGCACTGGATCCCAAAGTAATCCCAGCACTTTGGGAGGCCCAGGTGGGCAGATCACCTGAGGTCAGGAGTTCATGACCAGCCTGGCCAACATGCTGAAACCCTGTCTCTACTAAAAACACAAAATTAGCTGGGTGTGGTGGTGGGGGCCTGTAATCCCAGCTACACAGGAGGCTGAGGTAGGAAATCACTTGAACCTGGGAGGTGGAGGTTGCAGTGAGCTGAGATTGCGCCATTTCACTTCAACCTGGGCAACAAGAGTGAAATGCCGTCTCAAAAAAAAAAAAAAAAAAAAATGCCTAAACAAACGAAATTTCCAGTGACAGTTACCAAATTTTCTTCTTGGTGCATAGTCAGTAGCCAGAGGTTATAAATCTAATTCTCTCTCATTCAAGCCATTTACTGTGCAACCTCAATTAATGTAACATTTTTTGCTTCGGTTTTTTCATCTGTAAAACAGCGATAGCAAAACATATCTCATTAGGCTGTTGAATTAGTCAAACAGGAAATCACACAAAGTGCTTAACATGGTATGTGGCATATAGTTCAACAATAGCCATTAAAATTAACCATACATTTTTTTTCTTTTTTTGAGGGGGGGCTCAAGCGCTCTTCCTACCTCAGCCTCCCTAACAGCTGTGACTGTTGGCATGCACAACCCTGGTCCACTGTTTAATTTATTGTAGCGACGAGGTCTGACTACATTACCCAGGATGGTCTCCAACTCATGGGCTCAAGCTATCTGCCCATCTCAGCCTCCCAAAGAACTGGGATTAGAGGTGTGAGCCACTTGTGCCTAGCCGGCTATACATTTTTTTTTTTTTTTTTTTTTGAGACAAATTCTCTTTTGCCCAGACTGGAGTGAAGTGGCGTGATCTTGGCTCACTGCCACTTCTGCCCCCCCGGGTTCAAGCGATTCTCATGCGTCAGCCTCCCGAGTAGCTGGGATTATAGGCGCCCACCACCACACCCAGCTAACTTCTGCATTTTTAGTAGATACTAACATGGTTTCGCCATGTTGGCCAGGGTTGGTCTCAAACTCCTGACCTCAGGTGATCCACCTGTCTCGGCCTCCCAAAGTGCTGGGGTTACAGGTGTGAGCCACCGCGCTCAGCCATATACATTTTTTGTTGTTGTTTGAGACGGAGTCTCGCTCCGTCGCCCAGGCGGGAGTGCAGTGGCACGATCTCAGCTCACTGGAACCTCTGCCTCCCGGGTTCACGCCATTCTCCTGCCTCAGCCTCCTGAATACCTGGGACTATAGGTGCCCACCACCATGCCTGGCTAATTTTTTGTATTTTTAGTAGAGACAGGATTTCACCATGTTAGCCAGGTTGGTCTCGATCTCCTGATCTTGTGATCCGCCCACCTCGGCCTCCCAAAGTGCTGGGATTACAGGCGTGAGCCACTGCACCCAGCTAGCCAGATACATTTTTATTAAAATCGTTCAGTAGGTTCCAGAGGGAGACTTCCTCTTGACAGTCATCAAATACAAATACAGAACTTATATTATTTTGTCTGTAGGATTTCCATAATTTTCCACCCAACATATTGAATGACTGAATGAATGCAAGCTTAGGAATGTTAAGTCAAGATACTAAATATATATATAGATAAATAGATAGATACTAAAAATATGTATATACATATATATTTTGAGACAGAATTTCGCTCTTGTTGCCCAGGCTGGAGTGTAATGGCACTATCTTGGTTCACTGCAACCTCCACCTCCCAGGTTCAAGTGATTCTCCTGCCTCAGCCTCCCGAGTAGCTGGGATTACAGGCATGCGTCACCATGCCCAGCTAATTTTGTATTTTTAGTAGAGACTGGTTTTCACCACGTTGGTTATGCTGGTCTCGAACTCCTGACTTCAGGTGATCCTCCCGTCCTGGCCTCCCAAAGCGCTGGGATTGCAGGTGTGAGCCACCGCACCCGGTAAGATACTAAATTTTAAAACACATCTTGCTGAGGCCAGACAAAAAAAAAAACCCATACACTAAACTAGCCAGGCATGGTGGTGTGTGCCTATAGTTTCATCCACTCTGATTGCAGCACCACAGCACTCCAGCCTGCAGAGAGCGGCCTTGTTTCTAAAAATAACAAAACAAAAAACACCACACACATCTTGCTGAAAATGTATCAGAAATTGCTAGAGTTAGTGCAAGTTTACACTTGAAAATACTCAAAGACATCAACGATCCCCTCTCCCTCAGGCTGAAAGCGCCTTTCGTGCTCAACTTTGCTAAAAGTTTGGTCTTAGATTAGAGCTTAGATCTCTTTTGACTGGCAAGGAACCCAACTGACATTTGAAAGTGAATTGACAGCATCGAGTTGCCACTGAAAATTAAAGGAGACGGGAGATAGAACGTTATGAACTGAAAGGAACTGGAGAATCTAGTCCACAACCCTCATTTGATAAAATGCCAAGGGTACAAGAGATGAGGTGACCTGTCCAAGATTAGAGAATTGTGCCTGAGTCTTAAAAGCTCAAACCTCTACAAAGATGTGCATTTGACCGAAACGCTAAAATCACACCCCCAAATCACTCCCCACAAGGGGAATTCTTAAAAACGGTTCAAGAAGTTTACCTGCAAAGACTTCCCTCTTAAATTACAGGATGAAACGCTTTTCATAATTTTTAAATTAAACCAATGCAAAAGGGCGCTTATTACTTTGAGAACCAAGCACTTTGGCAAATACTCTCGGACTAACTTCACTCCCGTGGAGAAACTGGTGATCATGGATCAGGAAAATCAATGGGGGTCTAGGCAGGAGAGGCTGCAGATCGCCCAGGTATCAGGGAAAACAAGCTCGGCGCGTCCGACAGCGTGAAAAGAGTTGACAGGTCTACTCATATATCCGACTACGCTTCCGCTTCTTTGTTTTCCCGCTCTTTTGTATCCCCCAGCAAGGAGAGCTTCCCACAGCCCGGATTCCCCGACTGAAGGCTCCCACTCTCCCTAGATCCTCCATGAAAAAACAAGAGGCTCGGCCCCGCACCTCCTCGCCGCAGAGCCGTTCGTATACAGCCTCCAGCTCCTGCAGCTCTGTCAAGGAGCGAATGAGCTCAGCGGAGATTTCGGAGCAGCGGCCACCTCCCACCCCCTCAGACGGCGGCTGCACCCCTGATAACTTCGGAGGCGAATCAAGGTCCGCCATCTTGGTCCGCATTAGGCACTTCCGGTCCCTCGAGGCCCCCTCTTCGTTGGCGCCTCTTTGGGGCAGCCCACAGAAGTGCCCAATGAACTCCTGTGTTTTTTTTAAAAAGTCTACTTCTAAAAACCTATTAATTTTCTGTTCTCCTGGAAAAAGCAAAGCAATAAAGCATGTTTAAATAATTTTTAATGCGGTGTGGAAGCAAGACGGAAGCATTTTTTAAAAATTATATATATTCTTCAGGCGCGGGTTGGGTGTCTTTTTCCGCCGCGCGCCACCGGAATGCCCCTGTCTTGCGGTCTAATGGCGGACGCCAGTATGTTGGAGTCAGTGGTGGCTTAAGTTTTGAAGGGAGGTAGCATCCGTCGGATATCCACACCATCCTTCTCGCTGCAGGGTAAAAAAACAGCCTGGAGACTTCCCCGGGCTCGGGGAGGCGGAGAGCGGCGATATGGAAGGGGGGCCCGAGACTTTGGCGGGGGTCACGGGCAGTCTAGGCCCGAGAGGTCCGAGGTTGGGGACCAGGAGGAGGTGCAGAGGAATGGTTGGGGCGCGAAAACGGCTTCCTGCAATCATTTGTCGCTTCCATCCACAGGGTGGGAACATGTCCTAGCTCAAAATAGGGCTCATGGAGATTGCTTTTAACGTCTGGGGTCTCTGATACGGGGGAGATGTGACAAGCAGCGGGAGGCATGGATGTCCCCCTCTGGGTAGAGTAAATGGTACACCGATGGGAAGATGGAATGATGGAGCATGTTAAAAGCGTAAATAACGGAAACAGTCTTCAGAGCCAAGACTCCAGTTTGAATTTGTATTTTGGTAGTTGGGCAACTTGTCTCCTCCCCTGAGCCTCTCTTTTCTCATTTGCGAAATGGAGGATAGAGTTTAAATGCGATGATGTTTCCTTGGAGGATGGAGAAGATGCAGTGAGCAGTCATACAAGCTTTTTGTAATAATGGTAAACAGAGGTGGGGGAAGTTTTTTGTTTTGTTTTGTTTTGTTTTTGAGACGGAGTCTTGCTCTGTCGCCCGGTCTGGAGTGCAGTGGCGCGATCTCGGCTTACTGCATCTCTGCCCCCCGGGTTCCAGCTATTCTCCTGCCTCAGCCTCCCGAGTAGACTACCTGGGATTACAGGCGCGTGCCACCACGCCCGGCTGATTTTTTTTTTTTTTTTTTTTTTTTGAGACGGAGTCGGTCTTTGTCATCCAGGCTGGAGTGCAGTGGCATGATCTCGGCTCACTGCAAGCTCTGCTTCCCGGGTTCACGCAATTCTCCTGCCTCAGCCTCCCAAGTAGCTGGGGCCACCGCGCCCGGCTAATTTTTTTGTATTTTTAGTAGAGACTGGGTTTCACCGTGTTAGCCAGGATAGTCTTGATCTTCTGACCTCGTGATCCACCCACCTCGGCCTCCCAAAGTGCTGGGATTACAAGCGTGAGCCACCGCGCCCAGCCGATTTTTGTATTTTTAGTAGAGACGGGGTTTCACCATGGTGGCCAGGCTGGTCTCGAACTCCTGACCTCAGGCGATCCAGCCACCTAGGCCTCCTAAAGTGCTGGGATTACAGGCGTGAGCCACCGCCCCCAGCCCAGACGTGGGGAAGTTTTAAAGCTTACCAAATTTATCTGGTATATGTTTTTTGTTTGTTTGCTTTGTTTTTGAGACGAAGTTTCGCTGTCGCCCAGGCTGGAGTGCAGTGGGGTGATCTCGGCTTATTGCAGCCTCTGCCTCCCGGGTTCTAGCTGTTCTCGCGCCTCTCAGCCTCCCCAGTAGCTGGGATTAAAGTCGTGTGCCACCACGCCCGGCTAGTTTTTGCATTTTTAGTAGAGGGGTTTTCACCGTGTTGGCCAGGTTGGTCTCGAACTCCTGATCTCAAGTGACCCATCTGCCTCGGCTTCCCAAAGTGCTGGGATTACAGGCGTGAGCCACCGCGCCCAGCCTGGTATATAGTTTTTCTAGTACTGGACTCATCCTCCGAAATGCACCTTCCTCCACTACCCAAGAATTAAAGTGTTGCTGGAGAACCTGAATCCAACTAGGTTTGGAAAAAATGAATTCCAAAGGTTTGTAATGGATTGAATCAGTTATAAGGAAAGGGGAAAGTAGACTGTTCTCGTCAGCTACAAAATATGAAAAGTAACGGGGGGAGCTGTTCAAGGATTCAGAAGCAGCTCCTAGCTTCCTCTCTTTTGCTTTTTTTGTTGGTTGGTTCTCCACTCCCTGGTCTTTCAACCTCGGTCCTTTTTGTTTGTCTTTTCCTGTGGTCCTAGAACATTAAAGATGTACCTTAGTCTCAAGTAGAAAATTTTATATCTCTTAGGACCCATTTCTAGCCTGGAGGATTTATCTTGCCACCCTGCTTTTGCCCAGCCCAGAAATAGTAGTTATTTATGAGGACGTTTCTTCCTAATTCTGTCCTCGTTTAACAATAAAATCAAATCTGTATGTTAATTCTATACCAATGAAGCTGGATTTCTCAAGGTCCCGTGCTTTATTTTTTTAATTTGGGACGAGGTCTTACTCTGTTGTCCAGGCTGGAGTGCAGTGACGCCATCTTGGCTCACTGCAACCTCCACCTCCTAGGCTCAAGTGGTCCTCCCACCTCAGCCTTCCAAGTAGCTGAGACCACAGATGCGCACCACCACACCTGGCTAATTTTTTGTATTTTTGGTAGAGATGGGGTTTCCCGGTGTTGCCCAGGCTGGTCTGGAACTCCTGAGCTCCTGAGCTCAGGCAGTCCGCCCATCTTGGCCTCCCAAGGTCAAGTGAGCCACCGTGGCTGGTCTCCTATGCTTTTGTTTATAAATAATTGCACTGGGGAAACATAGTTTATTTTGTAGTGGTATCTATAGGTATAGTTTTGGGTAATTATGGCAGAGGTACAGTTTGTGCTGTCTTCAGTCCTATTTGCTGAGAAAGAATCCTTTTCTGTGACTGTATACTTCTTTAGGAAGGCCGCCTCCTGACGCAGCAGAAATGGTTTTGTTTTAGTTTTTGGTGATGAGTAAGTTGAAATTTTAAATTCTAATCAATCCTTGAATATACAGTTATATAAGAGATGCAAATGAAAAGTACACTTAATAAACCAATTTTCTGTAGATTAGCAAAGGTCAAGTCTTAACCATTTTGGCTAGTTGTGGGGAAATGGGGACTCATACATTGCTGGACATGTAATTGGACGTCTCTTTGAAAGGCAGTTCAGCCGTACCTAACAACTTTTCAAATCTATGAATCCCTCAATCCAACAGTTCCATTTACAGGAATTAATTTTAGAGACATACGAGCATATGAATGACCTACATACAAGGGACTTTCTTTGTAGCAGTATTCATAATAGCAAGAGATTGGAAACACCTGAATGTTAGGTGGGCTGTTGGCTAAATGAATTATAATATGCCCATTCATTGGAAAACTGTGAGACTGCAAAGTAAAAATGAGATAGCCCTTTGTTTATTGTGCAGATAAAGTAATATGAAATAAGGTGCAATATAGTGTGAGTGTATGAAATACAGTACCCAACCCTTGGTTAAAGGTTAAAAAGGGTTAATAAAGTGCAGTATAAGCCAGGTGCTGTAGCCCCAGCTCCTTGGAAGGCTGAGGTGGGAGATCACTTGAGCACAGGAGTTTGAAGCCAACCTGCCCAGCATAGTGAAACCCCGTCTCTACGGTATAAATGTATGTTCTTATTTGTATATATAAAAAATATCTGAACGGATACGTTATAACTTGGTAAACTAGATTCCCCCAGGGAGAACTGGATGGCTAGGTAATGGGTTGGAGGGAGCTTTTTGCTATGCTTTTGGGTGCTGAATTATGTTAATGTATAGCTTATTGGAATACAAGTAAACCGAGGTACTTAGTTTTTGTGACAAGTTGCCTAATACTGCATTAATGTTACAGATTCCAGCTTGCAACATTTTTACCATTTGTTAAGTGACCTTGGGCAGGTGATTTAATCTCTGCACTTGAGTTTTCTTATCTATAAAATAGGTATAATACTGCAATTTAATAGGATTCCTGTGAGGTTAAAGGGAAAATATATGGCATCTTGACTTGTCGTTTAGAGGGCGCTCTTAATTAAAAGTATGTTGTTTGTTTGTTTATTTTTTTGAGACAAAGTCTCATTCTGTAGCCCAGGCTGGAGTGCAGTGGCACCATTTTAGCTCACTGCAACCTCCGCCTCCTGGGTACCGGTTCAAGCTATTTTCCTGCCTCCGCCTCCTGAGTAGCTGAGATTACAGGCACTCTCCACCATGCCCAGCTAATTTTTGTATTTTTAGTAGAGACAGGGTTTCACTATGTTGGCCAGGCTGGTCTTGAACTCCTGACCTCATGACCAACTGCCTCGGCCTCCGAAAGTGCTGGGATTACAGGTGTGAACCACTGCGCCTGATGGTATATTGTTTCATTTTTTGAAACGGACTCTCACTCTGTTGCCCAGGCTGGAGTGCAGCGGCATGATCTTGGCTCACCACAACCTCCGCCTCCTGGGTTAAAGTGATTATCTTGCTGCAGCCTCCTGAGTAGCTGGGGCTATAGGCACACAGCGTCATGCCCAGCTAATTTTTATATTTTTAGTAGAGACGGGGGTTTCACTGTGTTGGCCAGGCTGGTCTCGAACTCCTGACCTCGTGAGCCACCATGCCCGGCCACATATGTTGTTTCTTTTTTTTTTTTTTTTTTTTTTTGAGACGGAGTCTTGCTCTGCCGCCCAGGCTGGGGTGCAGTGGCCGGATCTCAGCTCACTGCAAGCTCCGCCTCCCAGGTTTACGCCATTCTCCTGCCTCAGCCTCCCGAGTAGCTGGGACTACAGGCGCCCGCCACCTCACCCGGCTACTTTTTTGTAGTTTTTAGTAGAGACGGGGTTCCACCGTGTTAGCCAGGATGGTCTCGATCTCCTGACCTCGTGATCCGCCCGTCTCGGCCTCCCAAAGTGCTGGGATTACAGGCTTGAGCCACCGCGCCCGGCCTGTTGTTTCTTAATAGGGCTTGCTCTACTGGTTCTGCTGTCCTCATCCAGAATTTCCCATACAGAAATGTCTGTTGAAG